ATCTCTAGGTGTGTTTCCTGCAAGAATACTACTGAGGCTTTTCTATGTTGAAGTTCTTTAAATAACCTGAATCTCTTTCCTGGACAGCTTAACCCTCTTACATTGTAGGTTATATATTGGATTTCTTCCATCTTACTCTTTTCCTACCTTCTCTCTCTTCCTCCTTCCCTTCCTCTTTCTTGTTCCTATAGAGCGTTTTTATCCTACTACCCTTTTCCCTCCCCCTATCCCTCCCCCCCCCCCTCCCTCAATACTCCCCTCCCCTTTTCCCTCCCCCCCCCTCTCTCAATGCACCCCTCAATCCCTTTCCTCTCTGCCTCCTCCTCCCTCCCCCCCCCCCTCCCTCCCCCCCCCCCCCTCCCCCCTCTTTTTAGGCCTTCCCTTTGCCTAACCGTCATTTGTGGAGATAGCGTCCACCTTTGACTTAATCCTTAGGGCTTCACTCCTCCCGTGGACAGCCTCCCCTCCTTCCGGATCCCCCCCTTGAACTCCTCTCTACCTGTACTTTCTAAAGAAGAAAAAAGAAAAAAAAAAAAGGGGTCAGGCTGGAGGAACTAGGGAGAGAAAGAAGCGATGGAATGGGAGCAAGGAAAGAGAGAAAAAAAAAAAAAAAAAAAACACAATTCTCTCCTCTTCACTCACCCTCCCCGCCCCTCCTCCCCTCCCCCCCCCCACCCTCCTCCACCCCTCCCCTCTCCCTGATCTACTTCCCCCAGATTCTTCTTCCCCCAACCATTTATTTCAATTTTCTGCATTTCCAGTCTATCACAAAAATTTCTCAAGTCCTCTAGGGACCTCAAATGGGCTGTTATTCCATTTTTCCATCCTATTAAAGTCTCCGGAACTCCCCATCTATATTGCACCTTCTGTTTTTTCATCTGCTCCAGCAAAGGCCTCAGAGTTCTCCTCCTCTGGAGAGTCTCTAGTGACAAGTCCGCATATATTTGAATATCCATTTCTCCATACTTTATAACTGATTTTCCCTTAGTTTTCCTCCAGAGTCTATCCCTTTGCTGTAGATCATAAAATTTTACAAGTATGTCTCTCGGCCTGTCCTTCTCATAATTCCCCTGGAGTTTCCCATTTCTAGAGATTCTTTCTATATTAGTCCTTTCCATTTTTATTAGTTCAGTATTTTGCAGACGATCTCTTCCAGTATTTCTCCCTTTAAAGTTTCCGGTACCCCTCTTATCCTTATGTTTCTCCTCCTTTCTCTATTCTCTTGAATTTCCGCCTTATACTGCAATTTTTCCTGAACTTTTTCCATGTTAATTATCTTCTTCTCTAATTCGGAAATAATCTGGGTCTGATTTTTAACTTTCTGCTCCGTTTCTTCCACTCTCTTAACAACTGCCCCAGGTCATTCCGAATATTTACCATTTTTTGCTTTATTGTTCTCTCCAAATCTTTAAACATTTCTGTCATCTCTTTTTTTATTTGGAATTTGTAGATCTTTTTCTATCTCTGATATTTGTTGATTGCTGGTGTCCAATTCTAGTGATTGTTTAGGACTGCTTTGCATACTTAGATCAGATTCTCTATCGTTTCTGCTCTGGGGCCTTTCTGGGGTCACATTTCCCTGGGATGTATACTTTTTAATTGTCCCCGTTTGGGTCCCTTTAGGCCCGGTTCCTTTTGTACTTTTATGTTTCATTTCTTCTGTAACTTTTATTTTCTTCTTATAGACTTATACTTTACAAAACAAGGGAATTAATAAGGTGTAGAGGTAGAATTCCCAGCTCTATCTTCCCACCTTTCTATGCTCCTTTGGCTGCACCTTGCGCTCTTCTCCTTATTTTTATTGTTATTCTCTGGGGGTCCCCCCCTTTTCTCTCTCTCCCAGCTCTATACGGTTTGTTTGTTTTTTTTATTTTTATAATTGGGGCCTCCGCCAGTCTCACTCACCCATCCTGCGCTTCTTGTGAGACAGCTCCAGGCTCCACTCTCCAGCTTCCTCGATAGGTTAGCTCTCTTCCTCTCAGGGGGACCCTCCAGGACTTCCTCCACTCTCTTCTGCCTTGTTGGTTTGTTGGTTGGGGAGGCCCACCATCAATCCCCTGCCAGGGCTCCAGAGGTAGCAGGTCGTCCGACAGAACAGGGATCTCTCCTGCTCTCTGTCAGCCTCCGGCCGAGCGGCCGGCTTCCTTGCCTCCCAGGGATGCACCGCGGCCTGTCACATGTCCCGGCCGCGCCTCCTTGTTTCCCGGCGACCCGGCTCAGCGTCCCCTCCTCTCTTACCGCAGGCAGAACAGAAGCCAGCAAACCCCCCGGTCAAGGTAGGTCTCTGGCTTCTAAGGCTCCATCTCCGTGGGGGGAATTTTTAAAGTTCAAGGGGGGGGTAGGTCGGAGGAGCCTCGTGTGGGAGCTCCTAACGCGAGCTCTCCACCGCCGCCATGGTCAGGCTCCGCCCTCCGTGCTCGGATCGGCTGGACGTCTGCTAAACCCACAACCGCAAAATCAATCTGTATATGTAGTAAAGCATTCTTGTTATACTCACTGTGGAACCTAAGGGGTTAATCCTTCACACTGTGTAAAAATGATGTTTGATCCTGTCTTCTCTGATCCTCCTCTTCTTTTACTGTCCCCAATTCATCTGCTGAAACAACAGAGCCTTGGGGGCAAGCTGCACATTTTCTTTCTTCTCAGTGCACGTGATCAGCACAGGGCCAATCAGCGCTGTCCAGACAAAAAGTCAGAGGTTATGCAGCCTCAAAGGACAATCTTGGGAGACTGAAAAATCTTCCTACAAGCTTTAACCAGTGCTCTGCTGGACACTGGTAGAAGCCACAAGACTGCTGTAATGTAACTGCTGATGAGAAAGGGTATTTAGCAGTTTATATTTACTACAATAATTGCATTTCCATGTCGTGTGTACTGTGGGAGACCAGATATAGTGAATGCGGGGTCCTGGGCTTAGTAACAATTTAAGAAGGTAAGCAAATCAAACTCTAAGTTTAGATCTACTCCCATCCTCATTCTAAGCCTATTCCATCTACCCTGTAACAGGAATGATGTGTATACATACCTAATCTGAAGTAGCTCTTGTCTGGTCACATGACCACAGTAAGCCTATGGGTGACATCATCGACCAGGCTCTGCAGCCATTGTCTGCAATCTTTCCTCTACATTGAAGCCAGCATATGTGATCAGACTGGAGCGACTTCAGAATTGTTACGTATATGTATCTTTTGTTTTTCAAGGTTGATAGAATCAGCTTAGAATGAGGCTGGGAGAAGATTTGACTTACCTTCCACTTTAACCTCCCTCCTCTATTCCCCATCTATAAAAAACCAATGAAATTGTTTTTTTCTTGAGTTCTAATTTTAAAGGCTTGGCTGTAGGGTTCGTTATTTCTTATTGAAAACAATGTGGGAAATCAGTGATTACACTGCCAGCTTTTTTAACACTTTTCTCATTATAAATCTGCATGTACAGATCTTTCCAGTAGAGGGAGACATCCTTTTAAATTAAGGAGATACAGTACTATTGAACTGCCCTATGAACTCAGTATCTTCCCTGCAGGTATCTGGAAAACAAAATTGCTATAACAATTGGCATCAATCTGTTCTTAAATTTATCTAGTGCCGTCTAGCATCATGTAGGGACACCTGAAGGACCATTTTGCTGGATGTCCCAGTTTTGGGTAATGGACAGGATGTGATATAGTTGAAACAAAGCTGACCTTTTATTATATAAAAATAACCATGTTTTTTTTTTTTTTGTAACTGTTCTTTATTCATTTGTTAAACACTTTTGGCAGAGGTACAATTGTTGCAGATGGTAATTGATACATTTTGTCCTTCACTAATTGGCATGTTGTGAAATGAGCAGCAAAGTCATTTGAGACAGTCCCAGAGGTAATTAACATTGCTTGGCGAAAGATAATCTACTGTAAAAACTGGAAATGAGCAGCGCTGAGAGTGACCTGTAGTATCCTTACTGTTTAGGAGAAAAAGTTGAAAATCACAGCACCAATCACAATGAACACATCCCCAGGATATCTGCAGTGTAGATGAGACAAAAAGAGGTCAGGGTGACAGAGAAAAGGAGGCAATGGCAGGAGGTCGGCCATTCCACACACAAAGATAATGCAGTCAGAGAAGCTGTAACGTGTGTACAAGCACTTGAAATTTCTTTCAAATTTGCTGATGCATCTAACGTTATTGTAATTTTTTTTGTCATTGATTGAATGCACATATATGAAACATTCAGCGATGAGATGAAACTTTGCCATATGTGAAGGGTGTATATAAATTGGACTGGTGGGTGTTCCTGCTCACATGTTCCAATCGCTTTTTTATTTATTTATTTCAGGTACTTATATAGCGGAGTCAATTTACGCAGCGCTTTCTACATATATATTGTACATTCACATCAGGCCCTAACCCTCAAGGGGTGTACAATCTAAGGTCCCGAACTTACATTCATGTATACACATACTAAGGCCAATTTAGAACGCTTTTTTTTGCGTTCCTTATATTAAGTAAATGGCATCATGGAGATCTGGAGCCTCATGTATGTGTTCAGCAAACCCAGGAATTTGGAGAATTCACCACCAGAGATACTGACTGGTTTGGTGATTTTACTCTTGAGCATGAACCAGTAACCAAAATTTTGATTGGTTTAATCCCCTTTAACTATAGGGCTATGTTGTTTAATGCTATTGTGCTTGTTTATCTTTAATAAAGCTTACTGTTTTATGCTGTTTTATTTCAAGAAAACCTGTGAGGACAGCTATTACTTGTCTCAGCTGGGTCATCCATCCAGCTCTGGAGCTTGGTTGATTGTGTTAGTTCCAGTGCCAAGTACAGCCAGTTAGTATTATGTACTACTACGATGTGTCGTGCACAGAACTAGCACCTCTATATAGTGTAGGGCAGTGGGGAACTTGAGCTCTGGAAGAAAGTCTCCGCTTAGACATGTAACATTCATCATGACAGGTTTTCTTTAAATTTGTTAATAACCTGGCATCTTGTTTTATTTATTTTTTTAATCTGCAGGGTCTCACTTACACCTCGCCAAGGCTTACCACGCTTAGTCCTTAAAGGAATCTTCCAGGGTGCCAAAGTAGTGCGAGGACCTGACTGGGAATGGGGTAACCAAGATGGTAAGTAGTTTGGAGATCCTTTTTAAAGGACAAGAATTAAGGAATATCACTAGACCTAAATATAGGCAAAACCCTGTAGTGATTTTTGTTTTCTTTGAAGTGGATTTTCTACCCTGTTCAAAAAATGTTCTAATAAAGATTCATGTGAAACATATGTTTACTGTGAACGCATTTGTAAGATGTATTACAGTGAGATGTGTGGAGAAGGGCAGTATTATTATTATATTATTATACAGGATTTATATAGCGCCAACAGTTTGCGCAGCGCTTTACAAAATGAAGGTAGACATTGCAGTTATAATACAATTTGGTACAAGAGGAAACAGAGGGCCCTGCTCGTTAGAACTTACAATCTAGGAGGAAGGGTTGATTGATAGAAAAGGTAATAGCTGTGGGGGGGATGAGCTGATGGAGGAAATAAATGATGGTTTACTAGGTAGAAGCAGGATTGACTTCTTTAAAGCGAAAGAAAGGTTTTCAGGGATCGTCTAAAGGTGGATAGATTAGGAGACAACCGGATAGATTGGGGTTGAGACGCCATTTTTTTGTTTTCTGTTATTTTGAAAGTGTAAATGATGGAAATAAAATCTAACTTTTGTTGACATATTATAAGAATGTCTAATCTGTAATTTGATGCCTTTTGGAGATTTTTCCATCTTTCCTTGGCTTCTTTATGCACATTAATACAAATTTTTAGCTGGGGTGCGCAAACTTTTGATCCCAACTGTATGTACAGAGAGCAGAGTTCAGCTGTGTGCTGAGTACAGAGTGTAGGGTTCAGGACTACATAGAATTGGTCCACTTTAAACCAAAACGGCATCCTCTTTCCCCCAAAATCACCCCCCACCTCCACTACAGAGTTCTGCTCTCACCTCAAAATCGCCATCCTTCATAGTACCCTGATAGAAAAGCAAGCTACAGCTTGCCTTGATAGGAGCATGGATAGTGCAGGCTTCAGGGCAGGCACAGGCTTCAGGAGGTGTTGTCACCACACTAGCACAGCTATGCGCATCCCCTGCTCCTTTGCACTCCCTTCTCTGCTCTCAGGGAGGGTTTAGTGTGGCTGCCACAAGAAGAGCACTGTCAGCCTGTGGACACAGAAGTTGTGCTTCTGTGTTTTCAAATGACTGTAGTGTGCAGCAAGCACAGGGCTAGTGCCGGGGCAATAGAACTGAGTTCCGTCACATTTTGGTTGAAAAAAAGCCCTGAATAAGTGAGATTCTCCCATCCCCACTAAACGGTATGAATGGAGAAATCTCCATTGCCCGCTATTGTATTCAGACATCTGCAGCATTCATGGCTGTCTGAATACAATTGCACTGCCGAAGAGTGCATCTGATAGCATACAGTTACTGTTCAGCATATACTTTTCCACCGAGCTCAGTCAATATTTTGATTGACTTTTGTCAAACTGGATGCTGCTTACAGGTAAACCCAGGACTCGAATTTCAGCTGATTCAGCTGATTCCAGGTAAAATTCAGAGTGTCTTTAGATAGGTTTATGCTAGGGAGAGAATGTTTCCTTGACCCCATCAAATGTCATCTTCCCCAGACAAATCCCAGTTTTGTTTAATCCTGGTAATCACACCATTATGAAATGCTATTTCTATTAAAAAGGGCCTCATATCTTTATTAACATATTTATATTCTGGAGGTAAATGAAGGCCATTGTTAACAGTAAAGTATTGATGAATATACCAGCACAGAATAATGATGGTGCTGCAATATTTCTGTTATGGTAAAGGCATAGTCAAAAATAGAATAGTGTTTGTTTTAATGTAAACATTTTTCTTTTGTGTTGTGTTACCTAGGTGGGGAAACTAAAGTTGGTCGGGTTGTGGACATCCGTGGATGGGATGTGGAAACAGGACGCAGCGTGGCAAGTGTAACGTGGGCTGATGGCACCACTAATGTTTACAGAGTTGGGCACAAGGGCAAAGTAGATCTAAAGTGCATTGCGGATGCTCAAGGAGGACATTACTACAAAGATCACTTACCTAAGCTGGGTAAGACAGACAGACAGTTTTCATTAACATTATTATGCCAGTTTTATTAAATTTTTTATTATGTCAGTCAGCAACTCACTAAATAATTACCATTATTCATTAACATGGCTTTGTATTTATGGATAGCTAATCACCTCCTTTTGTGGGAACAAGATAACAACATCTTAATATTTTCCCAGGCTGATCAGTGTTGACCTCTAACCAAATATCAGTTTTTGGAGATAAAGTAGGAAATTGTGTAATGCTCTGATTTTAATGCTTTCTGTATGCCCATGGGAGAGATTTCTCCTCATATCCTGCCAGAGTATTCATAGAACTTGGGTTTTAGGCCCATATGTTCAAGTGATTGGACAAGAACTAACAAAGCTTTTGAGGATATACCTCCTGGGCATCTCCCCTATAACCCTACCATGTTGTGAGTCAGTTTTTTTGCTAAAGTCCTAAGGCGATGGACCTCTTCTTATTTACAGAGAAATAATTCTTAGCTTAACTTAGCTCAACTCCTTCACTATCTTTCAACATAACATTAGAAACCATGTATCCAGATCATTGCAACCCCACTAAAACCTTGGGAGCTATATCCAGACCCCACGCTGAGGGGACAGCCTATAATGTTGCTTTGGCAATTGAACCCTGCATGTGCACTCACTTTTGCAGTCTGTGCAATATGTATAGTTAGCTGCAGGTTGTTATACAGGCCCAGCACTGTGGTTTAGCCCTGTGGAACCCAGATCCTGAAGACCCCTCCGGGGGGGGGTATGCTCACCATGATGGGTGAGGCCTGAACCCCATATAGGGACCAGTGTTGTGCAGAGGTAAGACTCTGTGTCTCTGACCATTACTGAAACAACCAATGTTGTCTTTGGAATGTATTCACCTTAACAGTGTAACGTTTTGAACTAAATTTCAACTACTCAGAGCTCGGTTTTAGGTGGATGACCAGGTATTAGATCATACCACAGGTCACACTTTCTCATCACTTCACACCCCTTATAAGGTGCCAAGCTGCTTTCCCACCCTCTGATATGAGGACATTAGCTACAGCATGGTCTGCACCTGCGTTACTGCATTTGCCTCTGTGGATATGATTATCCTATCTCTGCAGTCTACTTTGTGAGTGCCTGCCCCTCAGGCATAACTGTCACCTGAAGCAATGGTGGAGACCAAAGAGGAACTACTGCAAAAGCCCCGAACAACGCTCAACCTCAGTAATGGTGCTTTCTGCGCATCGGGGCAGGATCTAATGTTAACACCAATCTATGCATCCAATTCTGGGTTCATCTCAGGCACTCAACATGTGGTCTACCTGACCAAGAAGGACTTTTCTGCATCTGTATCACCATTCCTCAGACAACTCATTTATTTATTTCAGGTACATATATAGCGCTGCCAATTTACGCAGTGCTTTACATATATATTGTACATTCACATCAGTCCCTAACCCTTAAGGCATGTACAATCTAAGGTCCCTAACTCACATTCATACATACACATACTAGGGCCAATTTAGACAGGAGCCAATTCACCTACCAGCATATCTTTGGAGTGTAGGAGGAAACGGGAGTACCCAGAGGAAACCCATGCAGGCACAGGGAGAACATGCAAACTCCAGGCAGGTGGTGCCGTGGGTGGGATTCGAACCAACAACCCTAGTGCTGCCAGGCGGAAGTGCTAACCATTTAGCCACTGTGCTGCCCACAGCCATCTCTGTCTAGAGCTCCGAGATGCCAGGCTCTTCTCCATACTCACTGGCTCTTCTTTTTTATATTTTTTCTCTCTAATATTTTGAACTTCTCAACATACAAAACATTTACAGACTCCCCTCCCTTATCCCAACACATATATAAAAAAAAAAACTCAATCACATGCATTTAAATATGTCTACAATACTTTATTCTTCTTCGTTCATGTCACTGCGACACTACTCCTGAGACTTTTAACTTTGCACCCTGTACCATTGATTGAGATTACCATTTTAGGCTCATTATCTACTCTGCTCTCTCAACCAAATACTATTGGTCTCACTCTTTCTAGGCTCTCAGTGGCTTTCAGTTAACAAAGGTCACCATCCGATGTCCTTTCATAAAAATTCTTCACAACCACTGAGCTCCCACAAAATATCCTCATCCCTATCACAAACATGTCTACCTCCCCTTTCATATACCACACATAGGGGGAGCTTCAGTAAAACTGGAGCCCTCCAAATCTGGTGCAGCTGTGCATGGTAGCCAATCAGCTTTTAACTACAGCTTGTTCAATTAAACTTGACAACAAAACCTGGAAGCTGATTGGTTTCTGTGCAGAGCTGCATCTGATTTTGTACTCTCCAGTTTTCATAAATCTCCCCAATATTCTCCTAATTTTCGCTTGTCAGATCCACATAATTTTCTGACCTCTTAAGTCATCCAAATTCCCCACATTTCAAATAATAAATCAACAGAATCTTTGTGCAAGTGCATTAATTCTTCCATTAAACATAATTAAACTTTGTCAAGTCACCCTCAGGGCACTGTTGTCTTGTTTTGTTTGATATTGTAAACTTAACAAAACACTTTTAAAAAAAAAAAATAACCTAATGCAAGAAAAAATTAATACTACTACTTTTGTGGTCCATTCTTTCAATGCAGGAATTTCCTATGAGCACCAATATTATAGAATGAGCCCTTTAGCTGCATTTAATAAATAAGGTATTGGTGATCTCTTGTATTGTGATACCGAAGTGTCCACTAGGCACTTCCACCATGTCCACCACTTCATGGGCACGCATATTCCTGTTAGTTTAAAAAATATTATCAACTATTCCTTTCCAAAAAAAGTGTATTTTTAGGACAGTTCCACCATATATGTGCAAATATTCCATAGGAACTACATCCCCTTCAACAGAGTGGAGTTATTTCTGGTTGGGTTTTTTTGCGTAACATAGCACTTAGCCAGTAATTTTAAATGTATTTCTTGTTCAGTAATTTTTATTCATTAGTAAAATTAAGGCACAATTGTACAAAGAGCAGCTAATCCATCCACGCAGGGGCTATGACTGGCGGCATCAAGTGGAACAAATATACATCGGATGAATAAAGGAGGACGAGCATCCTCCACAAACATTCACATTAAACACAGAACATAACATGTAAACCTGTTGGGGAATACCCCATGGATATCAGAGGTAGCCCAGGTATTAAAATTATCAAAGCATGTTCAAACAATCTTGGCTGCTATGAACAAATAGGATGCCAATTTTTGTTGACAAGTGAATAGCTCTGGGATAGGGCAATGCAACAGGGTGAATTTCGCCTCCTTTTCGGATGGTCAAATGGAACAAAGAATACAGTAATCCAAATATGCGAGACCAGAAGCCTACCAGTTGTGAGCATGTCCGCCAAGTATGTAAAACATCCCCACAATGGCCACACCAATAAAAAAAGCAGTCAGAAGAGGTTGGATTAGTGTGAATATGCAAACGGGGCCAAATACCACCAAAGAACACTTTGTATGCCACCTCCAGGGTAGCTGTGTTAAATGAACATTTAGCAATAGAAGACCAGGCTTTGCTCCAGTCTGCCGCATCAATTTCAAATCCCAGGTTTTGTTCCCAGTGGGCCACATAAGAAAGAGAGGTATGAGATAATTGACTATTTAGAGACGCAGTGAGTGAGGAGATGAGACTCAGGGAGTCGGGGAATGCTGGCAGATATGCTCAAATGTAGTTTAAGGGATAAGACAAAGTGCGTGAAAGGCAGGATATCAAGTGTTGAAGTGGAAGGAAACTGAAATACTCTGACTGGGGGGTATCATGGGATTCACAGAAGGTAGCCCATGTCAGTGGGGAAGGCCCAAAAGACTCTTAAAAGCTCTTTTTACACTTGCAGGCCCGACTTTGTAACCAGTCATCACTGCTATGTCTGTCAGACCACAGGCAACTGGAACTGGACAATGTATAACTATCACAATCCTATTTTCCTACCTTAACTGAACAGTTGCAGGATTTACCTCCTGCCCTGCTCCTTCGTGCTGATGCCCTAGAACTAGTCATGACACAAATTTCTCGAATGGCTTGGATTTCCACTTACATGTGCAGAATCTTGTGATTCAAAGCCTGGTCAGCTAAAGCTGCTTGTAAAAGACACCTCACACATATGTCCCTTTGCTTCCAGAGTATCCCCAAAGGTCCCAGCAACTCTTCTTGTCCTTCCAACAACTCAGGGCATCCAAGTCATAGGTTAATCTGGATGACTTTCTCCTGAAGGACTTCTCTCCCTTCTGACTGTCTGCAAATGCCCACAGGTCAATTCAGAGGCTCCAGGCATTCGCTAGATGATCAATTTCTAAAATTCTGCTCCCAAGCCTTCTCGTCACTTGGAATACTTGTGTCTGGTTTTAGACACATCCAAAACAAAGGTTATCCTTCTAGAGAAGAAAATGCTTTCTCTCAATGAGGTCCTTCATGAGAGTACTAAGCCTCATGATAGCCTCCTTTGAGGCTATGCCATTTGCCCAATTTCATTCAATACCTCTAAAGCACAATATTTTGTCAACTTGGAACAAGCACGCTCCTTTTCTCAATCTACTCGTGCTCCTGTTCAGCCCAGCAAGGAATTCCCTAGCTTGGTGGGTCTCCAACTCAGTCTCAACAACTCTTTTCCTTCCCTATCCCTGGAAAGTGATAATAACAAACCAGTCTTTCAGGCTGGGGAAGAGTGTTCCAGTTCCTCATGGTCCTGGCAGCATGGTAATCGGTGGAAGCCACATACCCTATCAACATCCTAGCACTCAGAGCAATAAGGATGGCTCTGCAGCACTGGACCCCCCTTCTGCAAGGACACACAATTGAGATACAGACATAGTCACAGCTGTAGCCTACATCATCCACTAAGGTGGCACCAGGAGTCATGCAGCCTTGAAGGAAGCAAGCCAGATCATCTCATGTCCAGCAACCTCTGTGGTCCACATCCCTGGAGTGGACACCTGGAAAACAGGTTGCCTCAACCGCAACTGCCTGGATCAAGAGGTAGGGGCCATTTTAACCTGATATGTCAGAGATGAGGAACCCCTGATGTGAATGCCCTGGCCTCCAGGTTCAACAACAAATTACCTCTGATTGTGGCCTGGCCAAGGACCCTCTAGTGCTGGCATTGCATGCCTTGATAATCTCCTGGTCTCACTTCAGTCTCATCTATGCCTTCCCTCCAGTGTGAATGCCACCCCGTCTGCTACACAAAATAGAGCAAGAGAAGAAGCTGGTGATTCCCATTGCACCAAAATGCTTTAAAAGAACCTGGTACACAGGCATACTTGGACTACTAGATGACCTGGCCTCTCCCCATCAGGCCAGACCTGCTATTTCAGGGCCTCCACCTGCTTCTCAGTCACTACCTTTAATAGCATGCCTGTTGAAACCCAGGTCTTTACAGATTTTAAGTCTGTCATTTCTACTTTGCTAAAATCAAGAAAAGCCTCTTCCAGAAGGATCTATTATCTGAATTGGGAATCCTTCTTTGCCTGCTCTGAACATGTGCACTTCAATCCCTGGCCATTCTCCTCAGACATTTCGTGTGAATAAGGTGTTTTCACCCATGAATTCTATAAACCGTAGAGACTGTATTACAGTATGTAAAACATTCTAAGAAGTAAGCAGTTTCTGAGATGCAGCCACTGGCACCAGTAAGACTGCCATAATTAAAGGTGCCTAAATTATGCAGCTTTCCCCATTTTTCAAAAACTGCTCAACCTCTCGACTATTTCTGCATGCTGTACATTTTGTGTGTTGTAGCCATGCTATTCTCTGTAGGACTATACCTAATGATCATAATTATGTATTGGTTCCTAGAGTTTAAGGACATGTTTGTATGGTTTATGAAAAGAAAAAATATGTGGATAGTTTAGCTCCAATCTATTCAGTGCTACAGCTTTTATAATAACTGAATATTTCTAAAGCCTGTCTTCTAAAGCCCCTCATTTTACTTTTGGCAGCACGTTTGATGTACAGTGCCTTGAAAAAGTATTCATACCCCTTGAAAGTTTTCACATTTTGTCATGGTACAACCAAAAAATGTAAAATGTAAATGTATTTTATTGGGAATTTATATGATAGACCAACACAAACTGGCACATAATTGTGAAGTGGAAGGAAAATGATAAATGGTTTTCAAAATGTTTGTAGAACCACCTTTCGCTGCAGTTACAGCTGCAAGTCTTTTTGAGTATGTCTCTACCAGCTTTGCACAACTAGAGAGGGAAACTTTTGCCCATTCTTCTTTGCAAAATATGTAAGCTCTGTCAGATTGGATGGAGAGCGTCTGTAAACAGCAATTTTCAAGTCTTGCCACAGATTCTCAATTGAATTTAGATCTGGACTTTGACAGGCCCATTCTAACACATGAATATGCTTTGATTTAAACCATTCCATTGTAGGTCTGGTTATATGTTTAGGGTCGTTGTCCTGCTGGAAGGTGAACCTCCGCAGTCTCAAGTCTTTTGCAGACTCTAACAGGTTTTCTTCTAAGATTGCCCTGTATTTGGCTCCATCCATCTTCCCATCAACTCTGACCAGCTTCCCTGTCCCAGCTGAAGAAAATCATCCCCACAACATGATGCTGCCACAACCATGTTTCATGGTGGGGATAGTGTGTTCAGGTTGATGTGCAGTGTTTAGTTTTCCGCCACACTTAGCATTTTGCTTTTAGCCCAAAAAGTTAAATTTGATCTCATCTGACCAGAGCACCTTCTTCCACGTTTGCTGTGTCCCCCACGTGGCTTCTCGCAAACTTCAAATGGGACTTTGTATGGCTTTTTTTCAACAATGGCTTTCTTCTTGCCATTCTTCCATAAAGGGCAGATTTGTGGAGTGCATGACTAATAGTTATCCTGTGGACAGATTTTCCCACCTGAGCTGTGGATCTCTGCTTGGTCTCCAGAGTTACCATGGGCCTCTTGGCTGCTTCTCTGATTAATGCTCTCCTTGCCCGGCCTGTCGTTTTAGGTGGACAGCCATGTCTTGGTAGGTTTGCAGTTGTGCCATACTCTTTCCATTTTCAGATGATGGATTGAACAGTGCTTTGTGAGATATTCAAAGCTTGGGATATTTTTTATGCTCTAACCCTGCTTTAAATTTCACCACAACTTTATCCCTAACCTGTCGTGTGTGTTCCTTGGCCTTCATCATGTTGTTTGTTCACTAATGGTCTCTAACACATCTCTGAGGGCTTCACAGAACAGCTGTATTTATACTGAAATTTAAATTATACACAGGTGAACTCTATTTGCTAAATAGGTGACTTCTGAAGGGAATTGATTCCACTAGATTTTATTTAGAGGTATCAGAGTAAAGGGGGCTGAATACAAATGCACACCACACCTTTCAGGTGTTTGTAAAAAATTTGAAAACCATTTATCATTTTCCTTCCACTTCACAATTATGTACCACTTTGTGTTGGTCTATCACATAAAATCCCAATAAAATACATTTACATTTTTGGTTGTGATGTGACAAAATGTGGAAAATTTAAAGGGGTATGAATACTTTTTAAGGCACTGTATTTACAGCCAGTGTTGTGCCTTTGTTGTTTTTAGGAAAACCAGCAGAGATTCAGAGGAAAGAGAGTTCAGAACGGCATCCGTTCCAGCATGGTGACAAAGTGAAGTGTCTTTTGGATATTGAGATTTTGCGGGAAATGCAAGAGGGGCATGGAGGATGGAACCCAAAAATGGCTGAGGTAATTGGCACTGTAATGTTTGTCATTCATTCAAGCAGTTTTTTTTTAACTTGTAATGTCTACAGTGGTCAGTAGATTTGTTTTGTAACCTTGCATAAAATAGGTCTTTTTTGATCCCAAGTATGAAAAGGAGGAATCTGTCCGTGATCCTGCAGCCCTGGTTCTTCTCAGTGGCAACCAAAATAATTTTCCCCTGGTTAGGAGCCAACTGAACAGAAAGTTTAAGTGAAAATGCTTGAATCCATGTGTTTTTGACCCTAGTATGACAACTTGGCAAACTCAAAAGTCCCTATTTTTGAGTTTAAGTTATGATTGTATACTCCATTCGTTGCAAAAAACTTCTGGTTTACTATTTATGCAATCACCTACTGCTACATTGTAAGGCAATGTGACAAGATAAATTTCAAATCAAACCAAGGTCTTTTTTTTGCAATCTGTGGTTTGTCAAAACTGTTTGATGTCATTGTATTGCATTCTTTTTATTCGTTGTTTAAACTTTTTTTTGGGCTGTGCAGTTTATAGGTCAAACTGGAACAGTTCACAGAATCACAGAGAGAGGGAGATGTCAGAGTGCAGTACAACAGTGAAACACGTTGGACCTTCCACCCTGGTGCTCTGACAAAGGTACCGCGAGATGTATGTGGCACAGAAAACAGCAAAATATATATAAAATTAAAATGGAAATAATGAGTAAACATCTTTTCTCTCTTATTTATTCCTCTCTTCTTATCAGAGTTAGGTCCTTTCTCTTCTCATTTTGTTTTAGTTTCACACTTGTTAAAAGAAGCTGCACCTCTGGATTAATCAATGGACCCCAGCACTTCCTGATAATAAGGTGCCTAGGAGTTCCACATGTATCCTGGGAGATTGGTGTCTTTAGCTTGCCTAACCCTAAACTGTCCATCCAAACCAGACATAAATAGAATAAGGGGAAGAAGCTTAGGAACAGATATAGATAGGCTTTCTCCCCCTATTCTTTCTAGGCCATCTAGATACCATGAAGAAGTACTGGAAATCCATTTTATACATATTTATTTTCATAATATAGGATTCATGTTGCATTCTGGCCATGCTGTTGATACCACCTCTTTAAGTTCTAGTATTAATACTAGAAAAGAGGGGCGGCTAAATGGTGTGATGGCTATAGAGTAAAAATCCTAATTGTGTCCACTCTGACTGTCCCGATTTCTTTTTATATAAATAAACCACAGATGGCCATTTTTTTTACATCGGTATCAAATTCTGAAACTACATGCAAATGTAATTTCAATAGAAGTGTGTAATCACAAGGTCCTGACCAGAGGCTAAACCATACCTTATCTGCAATGACCCTGCAGGTGAGATCTGGTAGTATTACACTATATGGAAAAAAAGCAGAGGGCGCACCAGCCTAGTGCATTATCGTAAAATATATTTTTTGACAGGATTAAAAAGTAGGTATCGTACTCCCAATCCACATAAAGGTCAAAGGCATATCACACTGAACAGCAGTATCCAATCCACACTGCATATAAATCCACTATTGGAACCCTGGACTTCCAACAGGTTAACACATTTCGAGAGCTTAGCCTCTTCCTGAAAGCCAACACACTGAGAATCTTTACCTCTCTTATATATGCTCTCTAAATGCTGTTTCTAAGACTACATGTGGGCCATCTCTAATTCGACCAGGGCCGGAGACTGGCGTCACATGAGCTGTTCGTACACGACATCACAGATGTAAATGTACACATAAATAAAACCACCATTTGAGCAATACCAAATAGCATAAGTGATAAAATAACCACAAATTAAATTAAAAGCATAGAAAATGTACATATGAAAAGAATATATATAGATAAAAGCTATCCCGTAAGGACATAAAAGATCTTTTTTTCATGAAGATTGTAGATGTTCAATCACACCCTGATCTCAGTATGTATCCGCAATAGCTCATCTATATGTACCTGCGTTTCATGATATACAGGTAATAATACAAGTACTCATAATAATACTGATAGGGGGCACCCATACTGATTAACAGCTCGTAGTAGTATACAGGGAGTCTGTGTGAAAGGAAGGAGCATAACAACCAGCTTTCATATGCACAAGAAGAAAAACCTACTTTTTAATCCTTTCAATAAATATTTTTTACGATAATGCACTAGGCTGGTATGCCCTCTGTTTGTTGTTATTATTATTATTATTATACAGGATTTATATAGCGCCAACAGTTTGCTCAGCGCTTTACAATATAAAAGAAGACAATACAGCAACAATACAGTTCAATACAAGAGGGTTAGGAGGGCCTGCTCCTTGGAGCTTATTTTCTTTGTATCCAGTGCTATTGGACTACCCTGGCCCATTGAGGTCAGCAAGGAGTGCATTTTCCAGGACATCTGAGATGTAACCATAGCCCTAGCCGAGTCCATCCCCAAATGCAGGAGTATAAAGTTTGCAGTATTACACTACATGGCTGGCAGGTAGATCCCATTTATGTTGCTTTATAGAGGGAAAGATTAACAAGAACCTTTTTTTGTAAAGATGGAAAACCCATTTCACATTTTATTATACAAGTTAGCACTTGACAGAGCTTCGACATATTCGAGAGTTGAAGAGTACCAGGGAACTTCACCATAGTTGACAGCTGAGGAGCAGCAGCAAGAGCTCACACATTTTACAGGATGTATAGAGAGAGACACACACACACATTTTCGCACTTCCAGAACACAAATTTGGCCAAGAAAGCATACTACTAATGGGGTTATTTTGTTATTGATAGAAGTTAAAAAGGTAAAAAAATTCTGGGACAACCAGAAGATTATCATATCCTAATCGTACAGTACAGGACACAGGGCTTGTATTCATAGACAATGGGTTATATGCAGGCTACTTTTGGGTGATTCGACACTAGTAAAAACTTTTAGTACTGCCCTAGTGCATACTAATATAAACCCCCCCACTCTGTGAGACTTCAGGGGGTTTTTTTTACCAGTGTTCTAAGGAGAAGTTTTATTCCTTCTTTCTTCAGACACTTCTATCATGATCTAACCACTTATTGCCCTAGGCCAGTGGTGGGCAACCTTTTTTTTCAACTGAGCCAAATCTCGCCAAAACCATGATTGAAATTTATTTTGAGAGCCACATTTTTAAAACTGAAAATACATCTCCCATATAGTAATTCATCCCCCATAGTAATTCATCCCCCATATAGTAATTCACCCCCCATAGTGTAATTCATCCCCCATAGTAATTCATCCCCCATATAGTAATTCATCCCCCATCGTAATTCATCCCCCATAGTAATTCATCCCCCATCGTAATTCATCCCCCATAGTAATTCATCCCCCATATAGTAATTCATCCTCCCCCCATATAGTAATTCATCCCCATATCCCCCCATAGTAATTCATCCCCCATATAGTAATTCATCCCCCATAGTAATTCATCCCCCATATAGTAATTCATCCCCCATAGTAATTCATCCCCCATATAGTAATTCATCCCCATAGCAATTCATCCCCCGTATAGTATTTCATCCCTCGTATAGTATTTCATCCCCCGTATAGTATTTCATCCCCTCATATAGTATTTCATCCCATAATATAGTATTTCTCATATAGTATTTCATCCCTCATATAGTATTCCCCCATATAGTAATTCATCCCTCATATTTCTCCCTCATATAGTATTTCATCCCTCATATAGTATTTCATCCCTCATATAGTATTTCATCCCCCATATAGTATTTCATCCCCCCATATAGTATTTCATCCCTCATATAGTAATTCATCCCTCATATAGTATTTCATCCCTCATATAGTATTTCATCCCCCCATATAGTATTTCATTCCATATAGTATTTCATCCCTCATATAGTAATTCATCCCTCATATAGTAATTCATCCCTCATATAGTATTTCATCCCTCATATAGTAATTCATCCCTCATATAGTATTTCATCCCCCATATAGTATTTCATCCCTCATAGTATTTCATCCCCCATATAGTAATTCATCCCTCATAAAGTAATTCATCCCTCATAAAGTAATTCATCCCTCATATAGTATTTCATCCCCCCATATAGTATTTCATCCCTCATATAGTAATTCATCCCTCATATAGTATTTCATCCCTCATATAGTATTTCATCCCCCCATATAGTAATTCATCCCTCATAAAGTAATTCATCCCTCATATAGTATTTCATCCCCCACAGTACTATCCCCCCCCCCCTTCTAGTAAGCCAAGTCCCCCGTGTCAATTCACTTACCTTTTGCGTTCCTCTCGCTGTCTTCCCGCGCCGTTCGGGTCTTCAGGGCGGACTGTGAGAGGAGCCTAGCTCCCCTCCCCTCACGTTCGGCACGCTGCCCCGCCTACACACATCCTGACAGCCACATCCGCGGGCCGGATTAAAAGGTCCGCGCGGACTTTTGGGGCTGCCAACCGAGAGGAGGCAGGGGAGCGGCCGACCGACCGAGAGGAGGGAGGGGAGCAGGCGCCCGGCACACAGAAGAGCCGCATTAGAGTGGGTAAAGAGCCGCATGTGGCTCGCGAGCCGCGGCTTGCCGACCACTGCCCTAGGCTATCTAGCAGTTTCAGAATCCTTAATCCTTTGTGTTTACCTTCGGGACTGTACCCAGACCCCATTATATGGGGCTGATCTGTAATGTTGCTTCGGGATTGGATCCTGCATAAAGCTGGCCATATGCTGTTCAAAATTCAGCTTGTTCTGCAGGGACCATCTGAATTTTAGTCCGTGTGCAGCCATCCCTGTTTGTTCAACTTCTTTTTAAGGGATGTGCTGGAAAATATTTGATCACCAATTGGCTGCAGTCACTGATCAGTGTAATCTGACAACAGCATGTGGATAGAGAGATTTGTAAACCTTTTGATCATAGACCAGCATTAGGCCCTCGCCCTGACACGTTATTGCAACATGTGTATAGTTAGCCACAGGTTGCTTCACTCTGATTTCCAGGCCTTGAAGACCCCTTTGGGGGTATGCCCACCATGGTGGATGAAGCCTGGGCCCATAACAGGCCAGCAACAAAAGCGGAGTCCCACATAGTGAGTGGGTTATATGAGGGTTCACGGGGGGTTGTTCCCAGTAAAGCTTTGATGCACCATAAGTTCTATTTCACACACAATTCAGCAGAGAAGGACCACTTCTGAGTCAACAGGGAGATAGATCACTTCTTGGAATTTTTTTTATAAAAAGGGATCAGCTTTTCTTTTTTTCTTTTTTATAAACAAGCCGAACTTTTAACTCACAGAGCCATTTAGTGTAAATACTGAAATTATAAACATCAGATGAAAATAGTTCAGGTCTTGACAGATAAGCCCTCATGTAGCAAATGATACAGACTGTATTCCTCACTAAAACAAATCATTTAGTTTACTGTGACTCCTTGACTTATCCATGAGTGTATCTGGTGGTTGGAAGGAATGAGTGTCACATGATCACTTCAATGCTGCTGCATTCCTTTACCCTGTGATATGGTGTATATTTATTTGCCTAGTGCTGCCACTTCGTGTCAGATTATGGAGTTGCGCTTTACAATATCTTGATTGCAGTGTTTGTTTTTATCAGTTGCTTCCTTTTTCTTTTTGCATACGATAGAAACTCTTTTTTTATTTTGTTTCTTTCCTTTTTTAGCACAACAGCATTTGGGTTGGTGATGTTGTGCGTGTGATGGATGACATGGATACAGTCAAGAAGCTACAAGTTGGTCATGGAGAGTGGACAGATGATATGGCCCCTGTGAGTGCCTAAAATCATGAGTGCCACTTGTCAGCACTGGAAAACTTTCTTCTTAGGGAACTTTTCCAACTATTCATCTGTCTGCTCATTTCTCTGTGTTAACTCCCATTTTGAACAAATAACCATGGTATGCAGTAACAGAATTTACCAGCAGTAACACCATAGGGCCATGGAGATTAAGTTATATCTTTAAATGATATATATAAAAATAGGGAGTAGGGTTAGCTGATCTGGCCTGAATTGTTGAGGGTGGGGACAGCTGCTCAGTTACTGCTGGGAGGGGGTAGTTGAACTGCTGAGTCATTGACAAAAAGGGGAGAGCAGGGGGAGTTGATCTGCTGACTCACTGTTGAGAGGAGGGAACGGGGAGTTGAGTTGCTCAATCACTTCTGGGAGTACAGATGACCATAAATGGATTGAAATTCTCTGCTGAACCGTCTGAACTTCATGTATGGGGATAGTGATTGTACAGAAGTCAATCTACCAATCGACTTTTGTGCAACCAGCCTGTAGGATAAATGCCGCTCGATCAGCGCCACCAGCTGAAGCCGGCAGCACTGATCGGTGTATAATGACAGCAGGGAAGTCTCCCGCTGGTTAAATAAAAAAAAAAAAATTATCTATGAGCCGCTTGAGGAAGCGGGAGGAGCTAAACTGTTGAGTAAATATTTTGAACAAACGACTTTTACTGCAAATTTTTAGCATGATTCTCTGCACAGTACATACAATTACAGAGGTCAGTCGGGGCTTGTTAAAACATCAATTATAGCTTGTTAGGAATATGTAAATATTTGAATATCCATAGCCTGGTCATGCATTTATTTTCAGCACCGTCTTTGGCTACGTATGCATACAGTGACAGGGTGACTTTATTTCAGTGGCACTTTAATATTGCTTTCTGTCCTAGCAGAGTTGTAACATTTGTATGATGCGCTTTGATTCCTTTTACCCCACCACATCATAACATGCCTGGTTGTTCCATTGTATAGGTCCATAAGCCCTATTCCACAAAAGCCAAGGTTTCTATACACTACACAATGGCCAGCTAGCCTAAAACAGTTGTGTATATATAGCTTGAAGTAAAAGGTTTATAATATCTGGATCTGTACAAAAAATGGCAGTCCTAGATTTACATTTTGCTACTTGGGCATAAAGGAATAATTTCCATATCTCAGCCCACTATCCTTAAAGTAAGGTATAAACCACGTGTTTTTTTTGGAACTGGGGCAGAAGTGAGAAAAGCAAATACCATGTTTATGAAGGCTCTGATTTACCTTGATACTTTCTGGAGGTGTCACAAACCTCTGCATTTTATTTTACAACATACATTTAAAATATTTTTTTTGCAATTCAGGAACACCCTGCCCTCACTAGCCTTAAATGTGTAATTCTACTTTCATGGAAAAAGTATATCAAATAAAAAAATAATATAGCATATACAATGGCTACACGAGCCATGTTTGTAAATATTATTATATGGGATTTATATAGTGCCAACAGTTTACACAGCACTTTCCAACATAAGGGCAGACAGTACAATTACAGTACTATTTAATACCGGAGTGATTAGAGGGCCCTGCTCGTTAGAGCTTACGATCTAAGATTTAATGTTATTTAAAATTACCTTTCCTTTTCAATTTGCAGTGCTGTCATTTACTGTAAAGTTCAGTGCAATATGGCTACCTGGAGGCATTCGGTACACTAATGGTGTTGTACAGGATGCCCCTAGAGATATAATTTTCTGCTTGTGTGATTAGGTCACTGATTTTCCCTGAAGTCTTTACTAAGATACAAGTTAAGTTTTAGGCACCTCCTGCAATAGGAATTTCAGTTTTGGCAAAATACTCCCAAAGGATAAATATTTTTAAAAGGGATGCAGATTGTGCAGCTTTTCTCAGTAGAGCTGATTTTAATGAACTAGACTCTTCCATTCAGAATCAGTCTGCAAAGGACACAGTAAAACAAACAGAACAACAAAAGGTAGGCATTTGCTACAAAGTTTATTAAAATCCCTGCAATGTACACTGATCACCCAAAAGAGATTGTTTTTTTTTTTCCTTAACAAATGTGCAGTTACTCTTTAACTTACAGCTCCATCCAACACAGGATAGTCAGATATTACCTTCCTTAAGTGTGCTGTATGCAGGGAATTGGGGTGCTCAAGCCTTCAGAGTTAGTGTGACACATGCTGTATATTCTTGTAGTCTGTGGTACTGAAATAAGTACAAAGTCTTATTTGTTCAAAATGCTAGGAGTGTTGATGTAATAAGTCACAAGTTCTTTAAAAATCTTCCTCTCGTTTTCTGTATTGTCTTCATGCTTTTTACTTCCAACATTGGCCACAAACTCTTTCTTCTATGCTTACTAACTTTCTGTTAAGATTAATGTATGATTCCTCTTCCAACTTTGCTGAATCTCTGGTCCCTCTTGACCAGGCATTTTGTATTGTACACAAGACTTTTGTCATTTGAATTGTAATAACAGGTCAGCGTTTTTGACAGAAGGCCCAACTGTTCCTGTAGACTTACTGTAATAATATCTAAAGATAATTACTATCTTTAGAGCTATCCAAATCTAGAGATGTTCTACCCCTTCATAGCTATTTTTTCCTTCCAAAACAGCCATAATATTATAGTAAAAATAATATACTGTATAGTCTGCACCACATGACAATATGATCATTACATAAAGAACTGATCATACTTGGGCGTATGCGAATATCTCATTATACATCTGCAGGCTTATCTATGAAAAATTTATATTTTCCCTCTTCTCTAGCTTAATACAGATTTTTCATGCCAAATGGACAGGTTGGGTTTTTTTGCAAGCCCCATGTTCCTCAATACTAATGGCTTTAAAAGGCCATTTGTAAAAAAGCCATTTGTAAAAAAAGCAGGTCGCTTAGAGAAAAATTAACACAGCCTCCAACACTTATGGGAGGTACACGTTTTGTCATCACTGCCTCCTGGGATAGCTGGGTGGCTGAAATCTAGCAAGAATACTCTGAGCTCGAGTGCATTCTGAGATTTTGAGCTCCCAGCTCTGCAGAAAGGAATGGTGACCTCGCTCATGACTCCCAGAAGCGTTGGAGACTGGAACCAGGGGAAGTCATTTTTTCATGGGTGATCTGTTTACAAATGGGACAAGGGGCTTGCAAAAAAGCAGACATTCTTTTTGGCTTGGAAAGTCTACTGTAATTTTACTGAGCCTGATTTTTTCAATTTGAGTGCCAGGGGCTAGATGTCACCTAAAGTTTCACAGTTACTATCCTGTTAAATGGCTTACCTTACACACTGACTACTGACTCCTAAGAGTGTGTAACAGTGTCAAATGATGAAGCACTGTAGTCAGGCGGAATACAAACAACTACAGTGTATTTTGACACCATCATGTGCTCTTCCGGGTTGGTAGATGGCATGTGAGTTTAAGCAATTGAAGAGGACTGTAATTGTTAAACATCAGGTGATAAAGCTAAAATGTCAGGCTCAAAAACAATTAGGAAAGCAGCCAATGCAGTTTTTATGGGCACCAATCGGGCTATACTTCCCTTCTGTTGGGGCATCCTGAAGAAGCCAAATAAGTAGTCATGATCTGAGAACCCTGAAGATAACATTAAGCCCAGAACATCCCCCACTTTTAGAATCTTAGTTTTCCGAGGTTGGTAGCAGTCAGAACTGCTTGCTACAGTCAGGTCCATAAATATTGGGACATCGACTCAATTCTAACATTTTTGGCTCTATACACCACCACAATGGATTTGAAATGAAACGAACAGGATGTGCTTTAACTGCAGACTGCCAGCTTTAATTTGAGGGTATTTACATCCAAATCAGGTGAATGGTGTAGGAATTACAACAGTTTGCATATGTGTCTCCCACTTGTTAAGGGACCAAAAGTTATGGGACAATTGGCTTCTCAGCTGTTCCATGGCCAGGTGTGTGTTATTCCCTCATTATCCCAATTACAATGAGCAGATAAAAGGTCCAGAGTACATTTCAAGTGTGCTATTTGCATTTGGAATCTGTTGCTGTCAACTCTCAAGATGAGATCCAAAGAGCTGTCACTATCATTGAAGCAAGCCATCATTAGACTGAAAAAACAAAACAAACCCATCAGAGAGATACCAAAAACATTAGGCGTGGCCAAAACAACTGTTTGGAACATTCTTAAAAAGAAGATGAGCTCAGCAACACCAAAAGACCCGGAAGACCACGGAAAACAACTGTGGTGGATGACCGAAGAATTCTTTCCCTGGTGAAGAAAACACCCTTCACAACAGTTGGCCAGATCAAGAACACTCTCCAGGAGGTAGGTGTATGTGTGTCAAAGTCAACAATCAAGAGAAGACTTCACCAGAGTGAATACAGAGGGTTCACCACAAGATGTAAACCATTGGTGAGCCGCAAAAACAGGAAGGCCAGATTAGAGTTTGCCAAACGACATCTAAAAAAGCCTTCACAGTTCTGGAACAACATCCTATGGACAGATGAGACCAAGATCAACTTGTACCAGAGTGATGAGAAGAGAAGAGTATGGAGAAGGAAAGGAACTGCTCATGATCCTAAGCATACCACCTCATCAGTGAAGCATAGTGGTGGTAGTGTCATGGCGTGGGCATGTATGGCTGCCAATGGAACTGGTTCTCTTGTATTTATTGATGATGTGACTGCTGACAAAAACAGCAGGATGAATTCTGAAGTGTTTCGGGCAATATTATCTGCTCATATTCAGCCAAATGCTTCAGAACTCATTGGACGCCGCTTCACAGTGCAGATGGACAATGACTCAAAGCATACTGCAAAAGCAACCAAAGAGTTTAAGGGAAAGAAGTGGAATGTTATGCAATGGCCAAGTTAATCACCTGATTGAGCATGCATTTCACTTGCTGAAGACAAAACTGAAGGGAAAATGCCCCAAGAACAAGCAGGAACTGAAGACAGTTGCAGTAGAGGCCTGGCAGAGCATCACCAGGGATGAAACCCAGCGTCTGGTGATGTCTATGCGTTGCAGACTTCAGGCTGTAATTGACTGCAAAGGATTTGCAACCAGGTATTAAAAAGTGAATGTTTGATTTATGATTATTATTCTGTCCCATTACTTTTGGTCCCTTAACAAATGGGAGGCACATATGCAAACTGTTGTAATTCCTACACCGTTCACCTGATTTGGATGTAAATACCATCAAATTAAAGCTGACAGTCTGCAGTTAAAGCACATCTTGTTTGTTTCATTTCAAATACATTGTGGGAGTGTATAGAGCCAAAAATGTTAGAATTGTGTCAAAGTCCCAAAATTTATGGACCTGACTGTAAGTGCTGACAAAAATGCATTCAAAGCATGTTGTGTGAACAAGTCCTATATCTCTGGATCTAATGATAATTTTGACATGTATTGTTTTCTTACGGTAACCTCGCTTATTCATGTTTTCGTCATATGCTGCTCAGTTTCACGTTGCCCAGGTTTTAACAAAATGTAAACAGCAACTCTATAGTTGTCACCTGTGCTTTACCTGAAATGACTCCTCATTTTACATCTGCCCCTTTATTTTGTTAGGCTCTGGGTCAGATCGGCAAAGTTATCAAAGTGTTTGGGGATGGAGACATGAGAGTGTCCGTTGGCGGCCAGTCCTGGACGTTTAACCCCGCTTGCCTCACTTCCTATCAGAGAGACAATGATGCCAATCTCATGACAACAGAAAATGCCAAGGAGTCCAAAAGTAAGCCATTATTACAGCAATGATTAAAGAGTAAGAATTTAGGAGCCATTACTGTGGTATAACTGGTGTGTTTCTATAAACCTATTATTTACCAGCCGCCCTGGGGTGAGCTGGCTTTAAAAACAGATTGAGGCTTCTGTGTGGCATATAGGGGATGGTTTCCCAGCTCATTTTATTAGCCAATTGGAATTCTTAGCATTGGTACCTCCCCTTATCATATGGTGATTTGATTACAAATCTGCATTCAGTAGCTGAGAACTCAATTGTAACCTTCAAAATAGACATCAAAAAGAAATGCCAACTGCACATAACCTGATATTAGTCAAGCTTATTGGTGATTTTTTATCAGAGTGAGTTTTTTTTGTTAATGATCATGTTTAATTAAAATTGCATTTCACATAGAATATGTTTTCATTGGCAGGTACACTGGTCTCCATTTTAGAAAAGATTCTGGCTCAGAAGACAGATTGCGAAAGTCCCAGTTCTTTGGTGATAGAAGCCGCCCAGGGAAACATTTGCAAAGTGCGGGAGATGCTCCAGAAACACCCAGACAAGGTACCCCTCACCTAAAAATGCCCCTAATCTTTTCTTTATTATTCACACAGTCAGGAAAAAAATCATTGAAAACTAATATCAGTTTTGGGTAGTGAGTTTAATGGCGTTCCACCTTTTTATACTGGTCATAACAATAGTGAGATTTCTACCCAAAGGATCCCAACCCCACCCACCTGCCTCCACCATTTTAACCACTTCCCATCTGGCCCATGTACATAAACGGCCGGACAGGAGCAGTGCAGGAGTGGATTGCCTTTATAAATGTCCTCTCACGTTCCCTACCCATGTACACTCCCTGGGAGCACGTGCACCGCGATCCGGTGCCCGCTGTGTCCGGAGTGCCCTCTGTGTGAGGTCCCGATCATGTGATCACTGATTGGCCAGTCAGTGATCACATGAATAGTAGTAAGCAAGATGTCACCCGCTCAAACTCCCTCCAACCCCGTTCCCCCTCACTCAACTACCCCCTCATCACCCCTCTCCCACGGCCCCACCACTGCTCTGACCTCCACTTCCACCCCACCCTACATTCCTCATACTGAAGCCCCCCCAACACTCCGCACCTTTGACCTTACTACCATCGAGGAAGTCTCCAAGATCCTCTCTGATGCCCACCTCACCACCTGCCCCCTCGACCCTATCCCCTCACAACTCCTACGACCTCCCTCCCCCCTCCATCCTACGCTCCCTCACCCACATCTTTAATCTCTCACTCTCATCTGGCACTTTCCCCTCCCCTCTGAAACATGCACACATCACCCCCATACTTAAAAAGCCCTCCCTGGACCCCAGTGACCCGAACAACCTCAGACCCATCTCCCTGCTCCCATTTACATCTAAACTCCTCGAGCGCCTAGTCTACACCCGCCTAAGCTCTCACCTCAACAACAACAACCTCCTCGATCCCCTACAGTCCAGCTTCCGTCCCCTACACTCCACCGAAACTGCCTTACTCAAACTCTCCAACGACCTGCTAACCGCCAAAGCTAATGGCCACTATTCAGTGCTCCTACTCCTTGACCTCTCTGCGACCCTCGACACAGTCGACCACCCCCTCCTCCTCCAAAAACTACACTCCCTCGGCCTCAGAGATTCTGCTGTCTCCTGGCTCTCATCCTACCTGTCACAACGCTCTTTCAGCATTACCTATAATGCTACCACCTCCCCCTCACTCCCCCCTCTCTGTTGGGGTCCCTCAAGGCTCTGTCCTCGGGCCCCTTCTCTTCTCCATCTACACCTCCTCCCTTGGCCAACTCATACACTCTCACGGCTTCAACTACCACCTCTATGCCGACGACACACAAATCTATCTCTCAATCCCCCACCTCACCCCCTCGGTCTCCGCCCGAATCACACACCTATTGAGCGACATATCAGACTGGATGTCACTCCACTTCCTTAAACTGAACCTCTCCAAAACCGAGTTTCTTGTCTTCCCCCCAGCTCGGACACCACCCCCCATTGACTTCTCCGTCACATCCAACAACGCCACCATCAAACCTGCCAGGCCAGAGTACTTGGTGTCATTCTGGACTCCAACCTATCCTTCCAGCCCCAAGTCCAATCTTTAACAAACTCGTGCAGACTCCACCTCCACAACATCGCCAAAATACGCAGGCTCCTAACCCCAGAAACCACTAAACAGCTCATCCACTCCCTCATCATATCACGACTCGACTACTGCAACTCCCTCCTCACTGGCTTGCCTCTCCGCTGGCTATCCCCACTTCAGTCGATCCTGAATACGGCTGCCAGACTCATTCACCTTTCCAACCGCTCCATCTCCGCCACCCCCCTCTGCCAATCCCTCCACTGGCTTCCAATTGCTCAACGGATCAAATTCAAAATCCTAATACTGATGTACAAAGCTGTCCACAATACTGCCCCATACTACATCACTGACCTAATATCCAAGTACCGCCCAGCACGCACACTCCGCTCCTCACAAGACCTCCTTCTCTCTAGTTCCCTGGTCTCCTCCTCCCATGCCCGCCTCCAGGACTTCTCCAGGGTGTCACCCATCCTCTGGAACTCCCTGCCCCAACCCATCAGATTATCACCTACTCTCCTCTCCTTTAGGCGCACCCTGAAAACCCATCTCTTCAGGGAAGCCTACCCCACCCCCTGCTAACCTGCCGACCTCCTCCACTCTTCCTACCACTCCATCCCCCACAGCTATCTCCTCCTGTACCACTATCCCCTCCCTCCTAGATTGTAAGCTCGAAAGAGCAGGGCCCTCGATCCCCTCATGTTTTGCATTGTATTGGTATTGTTCTGTCACATGTTCTGTTCCCCTTTGTAATGTACAGTGCTGAGCGAGCCATTGGCGCTTTATAAATACTGTATAATAATATAATAATGTCACTTCCTGACATCATTGCTTACTACTAGTGAAATCTGTGAATGATCACAGAGGTCACATGGTACAAGGCTATTCACAACAGCCTTGTACCATGTGACAAGCTGTGACCAATCACAGCTCTCACAGTATTTCTCAATGTCTGCAAGAATGCAGCCAGAGAAGGAGAAATGACTGATTTTACAGCCTTTATGGGTGTAAAAGCAATCAGTGTAAAAAAAAAAAAAAAAAAAATCTTCTTCACCCCCCACAAGTAGTAGTGTCACTATAGTGACACTGTACTGCTAGGGTGACAGCATGTTAAAAAAAAATAATAATATATAAAATAAAAATGTAAAAAAAAAAAAATTTAAATTATAATTTTTGGATATAAACTAATTTTGGTTATTTATTTTTTTTACTAAAAAGATAGCTGAATACATTTTGGCCAAGATTTATGAAGAAAGATTATTTATTTGCAAAATATTTTAAGAAAAACACTTTTTTTTTCAAAATGTTTGGACTTTTTCATTTATATAGCAAAAAAAATAAAAATCCCAGTGGTGAATAAATACCACCAAAATAAAGTTTTATCTGTCAAAAAAAATGCTAAAAAATTCATATGGGTACAGTGTTGCATGACCGCGCAATTGTCATTCAAAGTGTGATAGCACTGAAAGATTGGCCTGGACAGGAAGGGGGTGAAAGTGTCCGGACTTGAAGTGGTTAAGGTGTTGTCCCTTGGTGGTTTCATTTATTTTACATAATGGAAGATGCATCAAGAGTAAAGCTGTGTGAATTTGATATATTTGCCATCCCATTTTTTTTATTTGGCTTATTATACATTTTTATTTTCCTAACTGTGCATGCAAACATGTTCATTCTGTGAGGAATCATGCAGTTTTATGAATTCAGGCTATTGGGCTTTGTGAATGGCAAGATTTTCTATAGATTAGACAAACTTCCATGTGCTCTGGTGTGTCACAAATGTTTTGGCATAAAAAATGGTGTGAACTAGTTTTCTGTTCTTCAGTTAGAACACAAACGTCAGACACATGAGGTTTGAAATGACATGATGGTCTGAGGGTTTATAACTCCCATTATTGCCCTTGATAACTTTTGTAAAAAAGAGAATGGTTTGCATCATCAATATCTACCCATTTTTGAAATGTTTCCAATGGGCTAGTCCTTTAAGTTTGATAACTCGTAATAGTGTACACCCAGCTGTTTCCTAGTTTATCCCTTTTGCTTGATTATCCCAAATGTAGCTTAGTGGGATTTGGCTGCCATCCAAGCAGGATTCCTCCCTTTTGACATGAGACAAACCAGAACCTGGGCTGCTTTGCATCACCATGAGTCTGGCTGATGAAAAACCATGTAACCTTCCAGTGTATAATGCCTTAATTTGTATTTTAGAATAAATGATCATATCATCACTGGCAGGTGTTCACACCAGCTGCTGAAGCTGGCCAGTGATTTACAGCCAAAGATTAAATAAAAGTGCTGCGTTCACTTCTCCGTTTATAGGCTCCGTTCTCTCCTTGCAGTACAAGGCCTCTGCTTGTGTGTTTGATGGTTTATGCTGTTTTTCCATGGTAGGTGGATATAAGGAACCAGGGCAGGACGGCTCTACAGGTGGCGTCCCACTTGGGACATGTGGAGGTGGTGAAGGTCTTAATTCAAGCCAATGCAAACATTGACCTTAAGGATGATGAAGGGGATTCTGCATTACATTATGCTGCTTATGGGTAAGAGCTGTACAGCTAAGAAAATCTTTAAAAATTGGTCTGGTGAGCTAATAGTTTCAGACTGCAGACATTTTCTTACCTTCGTGAGAGGCCCAGAAGACTCAGTACCAAAGGTGTTTTTATGTAAATATTGAGCAGCTCCTCACAAACACTCTCTATGTTTGGCTTATAACTATGATAATGAGCTTCCCTGACTAGTAAAGACGAGATGTAAGGGCAGGCTTACACCTGAACTCCATGACAAAGATCTAAATTGGAGCATTTGATGTGTAGAAAAAAAAATTGCCTCTATTGATGCATGCCCCTTGCTTGGTTGCTGCTCTGTTCAGTAAGTCATTCAGCCTCCACAGTACTGAAACTTGTAGTTCCAGTTGCAGTACACTGATCATAGCAGGATGCTTGTTATACACCTCTTCTATTCAGGAAAAGCCTTGTGTTATTTTCAGTGAATGTAAGTCTTTCTGTAATTGGAGGAGGGGAGATTGTGGCAATTATTCACCCTTCTTCCAGTCGAGTAAAGCCTTGCACAAGCATTTCCTATAAAGTACATAAACATAGCACAGTAGATTCTATATTCTTGTATTAGAAATAGTTGTGTATAATGTATTTCAGCTTTTATTTCTGTATCTTCCAGAACCTTTCTCTAACATTATTGTTTTGTTCTCAGTAATCAGGGTGCTGTCATCCGACTATTGCTGGCAAAAGCAGCCAACGCTGAGTTACTTAATAATGCCAAGTGTACTGCTCTGTACATAGCTGTCAACAAAGGCTTCACGGAGGTGGTGCAAATACTCTGTATTCCCAACTGTGCCATTAATGTCCAGGTGAGCCGCGAGAGAATTACATATCTAGGTGGCAAGATGCCACCCATCCTATCCTACTCTAAGAATATTCGGAGTTACTATTTACTTTTACTAGAGCACCTCTGAGCTCACACAGGGCTGTCTGTCTTTGCCTCTAGCATTTAAATAGACCAATGGTGGGAAGAAATAAAGAGAAGTACTGTATATGCTGGTTGGAAGGGGGCATAAACATGGAACTGTTGTATTGTTTTGCATTGGCAGAGCACAGGACCACTTTAAAGGCAATGCTTTGCATTTTTTTTTATTTTTTACATTCAGGGCTAAAAAAAACTATTTTAATAAGTCTTAGCTTTTGTTACTTAAATAATTGAGTACTGATGTGATACTTTTTCTTTTTATTTGCACTAACATATAATTTTGAGGACAGGCTTTCGGGGTATGTCCCCTTCTTCAAGGTCCAAGCAGTACTATTATTACAAAGTGTTAGAGTGTTATTACAGAATGTTAGAGATGTGGGGGATGAGGAAAAAAAAAAAAAGCAGAAAGAAACACAAGCCTAGGGTTAGCCTAGAGATAAGACACAGCAAAGCAAAAGCAAGGACTGGGGGGGGGAACAACACTCACAGAGGGAGTCATAAAAATGTTGGATAATGATTGAGGAATCCCATGTCCAAATTAAGGCCCTTATCCCTTGTGTCAAATAGAATTATCATTCTTAGTTCAAACGTTTTTCTTTCCTGAATGGATTTGAAACTTCCTTTAAGAACTTAAACATTGAGGTCTTCCATAATGTGCTTAAATATAAACTATTCCTTACGAATATTACTTACTTGGCAGTTTTAGCAGCAGGTTGAGCTATAGGCTAATCTCCACTACTTCTGTTTAGCCATTCCACTATCATACCCTCAGTATCGGAAGCATTGTGATCGTCTGCTATTCAATCATTGCGGTGGCACACTTCTGACTCCCTTTGGTAACACATAGGGAGCCATGTGGATTCTCAGTAACACCAGACAAATAAAAAGGAGGCAGTGCTGTGTAATATTACAAGGCACTGTATGCTCTGCATGATAACTGTCCTGGAAGCCCCTTGTATTTCATTTTTATTTTTAAAATAAAGATTTCATACAAGTAGTGAAATTCTATAGGAAAAGTCAGTCTATATACAGTCATGGCCGAAATTGTTGGCACCCTTGATATTTCTCCAGGAAATCATGTATTTCTCACGAAACGTATTGCATTAACACATGTTTTTGCTATACACATGTTTATTCCCTTTGTGTTTGGGACAAAACAAAAAAAGGGAGGAAAGAAAGCAAATTCGACATAATGTCACACAAACCTCCAAAAATGGGCTGGACAAAAGTATTGGCATACAAACTGCGGATAAATAAGAATGTTACAAGCATGTGATGCTCCTGTAAACTCACCTGGGGCAAGTAACAGGTGTGGGCAATATAGAAATCACACCTGAAAGCAGATAAAAAGGAGAGACGTTCACTTAACCTTTGCATTGTGTGTCTGTCTGTGCTACACTAAGCATGGACAACAGAAAGAGGAGACGAGAACTGTCTGAGGACCTGAGAACCAAAATTGTGGCTATCAACAATCTCAAGGTTACAAGTCCATCTCCAGAGAACTAGATTTGCCTTTGTCCACAGTGCGCAACATTATCAAGAAGTTTGCAACCCATGGCACTGTAGCTAATCTCCCTGGTCGTGGACGGATGAGGAAAATTGATGAAAGATTGCAACGCAGAATAGTCCGGATGGTGGATAAGCAGCCCCAAACATGTTCCAAAGACATTCAAAGCTGTCCTGCAGGCTCAGGGAGCATCAAGCGCGAACTATCCGTCGACATTTAAATGAAATGAAACGCTATGGCAGGAGACCCAGGAGGACCCCACTGCTGACACAGAGACATAAAAAAGCAAGACTACAGTTTGCCAAAATGTACTTGAGTAAGCCAAAAGCCTTCTGGGAAAACGTCTTGTGGACAGATGAGACCAAGATAGAGCTTTTCGGTAAAGCACATCATTCTACTGTTTACCAAAAACGGAATGAGGCCTACAAAGAACAAAACACAGTACCTACGGTAAAATATGGTGGAGGTTCAATGATGTTTTGGGGTTGTTTTGCTGCCTCTGGCACTGGGTGCCTTGACTGTGTGCAAGGCATCATGAAATCTGAGGATTACAAAGGATTTTGGGTCGCACTGTAGGCCCAGTGTCAGAAAGCTGGGTTTGCGTCCAAGATCCTGGGTCTTCCAGCAGGACAATGACCCCAAACATACGTCAAAAAGCACTCAGAAATGGATGGCAAAGAAGCGCTGGAGAGTTCTGAAGTGGCCAGCAATGAGCCCAGATCTAAATCCCATTGAACACCTGTGGAGAGATCTTAAAATTGCTGTTGGGAAAAGGTGTCCTTCCAATAAGAGAGACCTGGAGCTGTTTGCAAAGGAAGAGTGGTCCAAAATTCCGGGTGAGAGGTGTCAGAAGCTTATTGATGGTTATAGGAAGCGACTGATTTCAGTTATGTTTTCCAAAGGGTGTGCAACCAAATATTAAGTTAAGGGTGCCAATACTTTTGTCCAGCCCATTTTTTGGGGTTTTGTGTGACATTATGTCATATTTGCTTTTCTGCCTCTGTTTTATATTTGTTCCAATACATACAAAGGGAATAAACATGTGTATAGCAAAACATGTGTTAATGCAATACCTTTTTTGTGTGAAATACTTGATTTTCAGGAAAAATATCAAGGGTGCAACAATTTCGGCCATGACTGTATTTAAATATGGTAGAAGAGCGTCTGCTATTGCATAAAAGCAGAAACAGGAGTCGATATTTTCTTTATCTTCTAAAAGAGCACATAAGCTTTCAGTCTAAAATGATGGGTTATATGCTACCTCCAGGTGATTGGACACCGGCAAAACCACTCAAAGCTTTAACACTCCCTCATATAACCCCTCCCGCCATGCAATCCTCCGTTTTTTGCTAGTGTATGTTTGGTGTGAGAGAATATAAATAACTACAAGGAATGGTTACAGGCTTCACCAGGCCACTGCATAGAGGGTGTCAACTTTCTGGATCAGTGCTCCTATGCTCTGTGCTGTGGGGACTAAACGCAAACCCTGCACAAAGACAGGAGCTGGGTTGGTCTGTTATGTTGCAACTGCACATGACCCAGTGTACAGGCAACTCACCTAGGTACCTGGTTAAGCAAGTGCAGGGCCACCGGGTGACCTCCAGGTTCAAGACTGTGGTCCACCTATGAGGGAGCCCAGTACAAGAAAACTCCCCCACCTTCTCCAGTTCTCCCATTCCCTCTTGGGGTGGATGGGCCCAACCTAAATGGTCAAAGTTACACAGCGTTGGCCCTGGGGATACTTTTCAGGGTGTGGTAAGTCAGGTGGCAGTTTGTTAAATGCTGCTCTATATGGCTGGTGGTCTGTCACTGGTGCAGGCAGATCGAAGTTACAGGCCCTTTAAAACTGTCTTACTTCACTACTTAGGAAGGCCAGTCCCACTTAGCTGGGAAGGCCCTCAGAACTCTATACATATGGTGCATGGGAGCCATTATGGCGCATACGCAACAGCCATATTGGCACTCCTAACCTAGTAAAGGCAAATGTGCAAGGGCCATCTTCGTGCTGCTCCTGCTTTCACATGGTGTATGTGCGGTCTCTATTTTGCCTTTTGAAGTACAGGTGCGGATGCCAATATAATGACAGGGTGCAAGTGCGGGTGTCATTTCCTGTCACAGTGAGTTACAGCAGGACACATGTAGGGCAGGCACCGTCATACTCAATTCTCCACTCGTACAGTGCAAATGGAGGAGTTAATGCCTGAAGTGAATTATACTGTCAGAGTACCAGGCACTCTGAAGGAAGTCTTCAATACCAATGGTTCTGTATACCCCATAGGGGAACTAGTTGCAGTGGAGGACTCTAAGCATGGGGGGAGATTGAAGTTTGGCTGACATACTGTCACTTCCTACTATTCCAGGCAATTTTGTAGTTTCAACCTGGGAACCATGGATCTGAGGCCTCTCCTTCAATCAGACAGTAAGGGCGACCCCATCCTTAGACTCAGGGCAGTGTTGTTATAAACTCTACATTCTTCTCGGCAACATTTTTAAAAAGATCATCTAAAAAAGTGAGGACTTGCAATCCTTCAGTTTCCTCACACCCTTCTGCTTCAGAGTCTTCTAGCTGGTTGGCGCTGCAAGGGAAGGGTGTACAGTGGGGGGATTCTTCTTCAGAGTCATATGATTCATTTGTGGAAGAAATTCCCTCTGCCACAATATCCCCAAAATTGAAAGACATCATTACAGTGCTTGTAGAGGAGGTGGGCAAATGTCTTAAAGAGGAAGTTCAGACCCAGAATTGTGGCCTCCCCTTCACTGGCACTGCCATCCTTGAAAACCCAGAGCATGCGCAGTCTTCAGGACCTATCAGAGCCCTTTGGCACATCTGCGCATGCACCACATTTCCCCAGGTGGAATTCTCCAAGATCAATCCTAGTGGCCCTTTGGCTGGAGGAATTCATGGCATCAATCAATATAATGGATGTGTCCTTGCACATTCTGATCTTCCCTTCATACCAGCATACTGTACTGTGCTCTGCAGTGAAAGTAGTGGCATACTTGGGGACAGACAATGCCCAATCCCCACCACCCAGTACAGACCCTTAAAGGTTTGCATGTGTCTTGCTCTTTGAAGAGCAATTCACTTTCAGATCAATCTTCAGAGAGAATTTGACAGGCTGTGAGGAGTCATATCACTTGTTGTGTCACTGCCTGCTTTAACCTTTTCATTGTTGCAATTCTGGGGCGCTTGTAGAGCGTCCCTATTTACTTTACTGGGTTATAGTCCAGGGACGCTATGCCCGCTAAAACCAACAGAGGGTATCACTCCAGTCGTGAAACACCCCCAGCAAACACAAATGCTCCTGCGCTTGGGGATGGACTCGATGCAGGCTACAACCACATTAAGAATGTCCTGAAACATGCACATCTTGCTGCCATTCAAATAGACCGGGGGAATCCAAATATACTGAATGAGGAAAGTGAAACACCCCCTGCATGTGTACACCCCCAGCTACTGCCTCTATAGCTAAAGGGGGTTGCATTTGAGGGGCAGTAAAAGCATGGCTCAACCACAAGGTTTAACTGCCCCTCATCCTCACTTATGAACAAGCCCCAAGAAGTAGGTTGTGGAATAATTTCTGTGTCTGGAATACCTGGATTTGATAGTGGACCCAGCCCAGAACAAGGCATTTCTGCCTCAGGTGAAAGTTGTCTTACTTTGGGTGCAAGCTCAGCACCTTCGATCCCCTGCAGATCCCTTGGTCAATGCAGTCACCTGACCATCCTATGCCTCTGTCGTTCAGAGCCAAGAATTCTCAGAATTGGTGGATTTCCTGCCCACTGAAGTTGGATGGGACTTTCCTTCCTCTGAACCGGATCGTTCTCTCTACGGACACCAGTCTTTCAGGTTGGGGAGGAGTGTTCCGAACAGCCACAGCACAAGGAACCTTGGTCAATATGGGAGTTTCAGCTTCCAGTCAACATTTATCTGTCTTTTCTGTGGTGGATAACCCTTCCAATGGAGGTTCTGGTCAGAGTGCAGTCTGACAGTGTTACGGCTGTGGCTTGTTTCAACCATCAAGGAGGCACAAGAAATCATGCAGCTCAGGAGGCAGATCCCATCCTTGACTGGCAGGTGGACTTGATTAGATTTGATTCCTGCACTGCACCTGGAAATGGTGAGGAAGATTTGTCATTAATGGGGGGCTCTGGTTGTGGATCTTCTGGCTTCCAGGTTCAACAAGAAACTGGACAGGTTTGTGGCCAGAATGAGACCTCCTCAAGAGTTTGCAGTAGATGCTCTGGTAAATCTGGGGAACTATTTACAACTGATAGAAAGGGCAAAAGCGATTTTGGTGGCTCCAAACCGGCCCAGAAGGTCTTGGTTCTCAGATGTTTTTTGCAGGATTGAGGAACCTTCTTGGCCTCCTCTGGACCAACAAGACCTTCTGTTGCAAGGTCCCATCTGTCATTCTGCTTTACAGTTGATGACTTTCATGGTATGACTGTTGAGGCCCAGGTCTTGAGGGAGAGGGGTATATCAGAAATAGTGATTCCCATGCTTCTTAGGGGAAGAAAGGCAACTTCACGCAAAGTATATTATTGTACTTGGAAGGCGTATTTCCATTAATGTGAGCAGAGAAGCCTCCACTTCCACCATTATTGTATGGGTTGTTAACATGCCTTCTTACTGAAATTACATGTCTCATCCTTGGTTATTCTTTTCCAGAGACCCCTAACCTTCTCACTCCTTGAAGAAGGCCTTTGTTCAGGTGAATCCTCACATTGCCCTGCCTCGTCTGATGCCTTGCCTTCCATATGGCTCCCTATATGCTACCAAAGGGAGAAGGAAGTATGTAACCTTCACGATAGACCACGAATAGGAGAAGATCACAAGAGCATGGCAGTGGAATGGCTAAACAGAAGTAGTGGAGAGTAGCCTAGAGCTCCAACTGCTAAATATCAAATTTTCATGAGCAATATAGTTTTATAGTCACGCAACTAAAGCTAAGACTCTTAAACAGCTTTTTATTAGCCCTGAATGTAATAAAAAAAAAGAAGATAAATACAAAATTGAAAAGGAATTTACCGGTAGGAAAAGAATCAGTTTTTGCATAGTTACATTGGTCCGTTTGTAATGCAAGTGTCGTACCTGTGGAATCCCTGTGGGAGCTCAAAACCACATGGGTAGGCATGGCTACCTGAGTAGTGATTGCCTCTGAGTCTCTAGCTTAGCAGCTGCTCTCCAGTTTAGTGAACACAGGAGGGAGCTCGATAGTTTGCTACAGGTGCCATTCAAAGAACATGTTGCATTTCCTCAAAGAATACAAAGCGTTCTCTGATTGGATGAGATGGAGAGGGGGACAGTGACATTATGGTCTCCACCTCATCCAATTGGAGAATGCTTTGCTTTCTTTAAGAAATTACAGTGTTCTCTGATTGGCACCCATGCCGAGCAAGTGGACTCCTGTGTTCACGAAGCAGATGAGCAGCCGCTTGGCACAAAACCCAGAATCTAGCAGTGTCTACTACAGTGGTTTCCAGCATCTACAGGGATCAGCTAGATATGACACATGCATATATTCCTTGGTCTAAGCTGGACCAATGTAATTATGCATACCTGGACTTCAGCTTTAAGAGTCACTATTTTATCATTAACCCAGCAGAAAGTAACTCCTACCTTTGTAAATCTCCTCTTAGGACTTACATGGAGACACACCGCTGCATTATGCTATCACAGCAGACTACAGAAGTATCATAGAGATCCTTACTGAAGTACCAAATATTGATTTCACTGTGCAGAATCAGCAAGGCTTCAACCTTCTCCATCACTCAGCTCTGAAAGGGAACGTTTTGTAAGTGTATGCTTCTGGGTTTCCCTATCGGTCAACCCTTTGCCATATCGTTGCCGCTGGTCTCCACTCTGACAGATTATCCCTACAGAACATGTTTGCATATCTGGTGTACATGCATCAAAATAGGCTAAGAAACATTCATCTGGTCATGGCACTAGCGTGACTTGTCATCCCAAGGTTGAGGCGGGATCTTCTGTCTTGGTTGTGTGGGAATAAGCATTTGGGGGTCAAGCCCTGTCCCACTCAGCCCATAATCGAAAAAGGTGTGGTGTAACACTACTTGGCACTTACAGGTTTGGGGGAGCATGCAACCAGCTGCATGAGTGCCAAGTAATATCAAGGACCGGGAGAGTGATATGACCGCTCCCTTGGGTTGCTGACACAGTTGACTTAAATGCCAGCTGCAGAGGAGCAAGGGGCTGTGAGGAAGCGTAATTAATGTATGGAGGCTGGGCCTTGCATGGTTAAGGTGATAGTGTCTCTTTAAATTAAGTGTTGCTGCAACAATTTGTGTGTCAAGGATGGCCTGCTGCAGTGGAGGGACATGAACATATATGATACATGGTCTCTCTAATGGAAATGCTTCCTGCAACAGTCTCATACACCTGTCCTACTGATCATTGGTTGACAGCCAGATGGACAAAGATGAAACATTTAGAGCTTCAAATCTGGAACAATTTGTAGAAACATTTGTAAAAACTAAAAGGCAATGTATAGTTTAAATACCAGAGAGAAAAACCTGCGCAACCATATAAAGTGATATTATAATATTACTTTCCATGATAATAGCTACAGCTTATATAATGTTCTAACATTATCAAAGACCAGCTTTAACTTAAATCAGTAGTAAAGTTACCAAGAAAAAACAAGAGTCACCCTGCCTGTTTAAGCCATAATGTGCTAGTATGCACTGCATACTAGCACATTATGTCAGACTTACCTTTAGAATGCATCTCTCCAGCAGCACCAGGTCACCATTGACAGGGATTCCATCTTCACTCAGTCTTCTTCTGAGTTCTCAGGCCGTTTGGTTGAGCCGCGATGACGTCACTCGCCCCAGGCACAACACAAAGCTCTGAAGGATTGTCACATGTATGCCGTTCCTTCAGAGTGCATGCTCCGGTGACGTCACCGGCTATTTCTCGCTGGAATATCTCCTAGACAGTGTACATTTAGGAAATATTAATTTGACCTACAGTTGCAAGAAAAAGTATGTGAACCCCTTGGGATTACGTGGAGTTTTGCATGAATTGGGCATAAAATGTGCTCTGAACGTCATCTAAGTCACAACAATAGAAGAACACAGTCTGCTGAACATAATACTACACAAACATTAGATGTTGCCATGGTTTAATTGCACATAACATGTAAACATTCACAGTGCAGGGAGGAAAAAGTATGTGAGGCCCTAGCTTAATGACTTCTCCCAGAGCTAATTGGAGCCAGGAGTGAGCCAACCTTGACTCCAATCAGTGTGATGATATTGGATGTGTTGCTGACAGCTGTCCTGCCCTTAAAAAACACACACCTGTTTTGGGTTTACTGGTTTCAAGAAGCACTGTCTGATGTGAACCATGCCTCGCAGAAAAGAGCTCTCAGAAGACCTACGATCAAGAATTGTTGACTTGCATGAAGCTGGAAAGGGTTACAAAAGTATCACCAAAAGCCTTGATGTTCATGTGTCCACGGTAAGACAGACTGTCTACAAATGGAGAAAGTTTAGCACTGTTGCTACTCTCTTTAGACGTGGTCGTCCTGTAAAAATGACTGCAAGAGCACAGCGCAGAATGCTGCATGAGGTAAAGAAGAATCCAGAGTGTCAGCTAAAGACCTACAGAAATCTCTGGCACATGCTAACATTTTTGTTGACACATCTACAATAAGGAAAACATTAAACAAGAATGGAGTACATGGGAGGACACCACGGAGGAAGCCATTGTTGTCCAAAAAGAATATTGCAGCACGTTTGAAGTTTGCAAAAGAGCACCTGGATGTTCCACAGCACTACTGGCAAAATATACTGTGGACAGATGAAACCAAGATTGAGTTGTTTGGGAAGAACACACAACACTATGTGTGGAGAAAAAAAGGCACAGCACACCAACATCAAAACCTCATCCCCACTGTAAAACATGGCGGAGGGAGCATCATGGTTTGGGCTGCTTTGCTGCCTCAGGGCCTAGACGGATTGTTGTCATTGATGGGAAAATGAATTCCAGAGTTTAGATGGTGAATACTTGTGAGCTATTATGAAATGAGGTATTCAGTGGGTAATATATAGTTATCTTCTTATATGATGTGCTTGGTGCGCTGGCACTTGCACCGACTCACTTGCTAGTGTATATACAATGTTATAAATAGATAGTGCCGTGCTCCTATTTACTAGTATATATATCTCTTACTCCTAGAGGTACATGAATATTTATCTAAAACAATACATAAATCTCTGTGACCAATAAATACAGTTATTAAATAAAATAAAATAGCAATAATAAATTAATGGTGAATCACTATGACTAGTGAATCAAGCACATTATATAAATATAAATAAATCAAGAACCTTCATACATGTGACTGATAACAATCAATCCTAAATTGATTGTGACTGTGAAAAATACAATTAAATTCAAATAATACAATCTAAATTAGTGCCCCTCTGATCTACTGTGATCAGTCCATCTATATTGTGCAAAAACATATACAAGTGTGCACGTGCATATAGTAAAAATATTATATCAAAAGTCTTTCAAAATAAAGTGCAATGTGCAGGTGGATTCCTTATTCCCTCTCGCCGAGTGCTTAGTGGTCTCCTCTTTTCTCATCAGCAGTTAGAGCAGTCTTGTGACTTCTATCAGTCCAGCAGAGCACTGTTCAAAGCCTGTAGGAGGAGTTTTCACTCTGCTCTAGGAGGATGTAGAACCCAGGCTTTCCATCTGGACTGTGCCAATTGGCCCTGTGCTGATCACATGCACTCTCCACAAGAGGAAGAGTAGAGTGAAAAGGGCCTGTGACGTCACACGACCAGACTGCAGGAACTTTCCAGCACACTCAGCTCTCTTCCTGTTTTAAATGCCGCGCCCCCGAGTGACGTAGAGAAGGCGAGCCGATGCTACGAGATGAGAAAAGATTGTATGACATACATATGAATGAAAAGAGAAGGTTTGTCCCTGGCACCATTCTGTCCATCCAGAATACTGGCTTTACGTATCCAGCCTGTCAGAACTGCTTCTCCCGGGTGATACACACTGCAGACAGCTGGTATAAGGAGGATTGGAGAAGGTGATAACCCCAGGAGGGGAATTAGGAGATCCTTAGAGAGCTGGTCAGGATATCTATTCATGAGCAGCTGCACAAGGGGATAAAGGAGAGAACAGGAGACCCCTATAGATCCACACCTACCTTCTGGAACAGCTTGTATAAGAGTAGTTCATCTCATCCCATCAATCCTGGAAGGATTAAAAGCGTATTTGCCTGGATTTATTCAGGCAAATATTAAGGTGAGCGCATAGGGAGACCACTAAGCACTCGGCGAGAGGGAATAAGGAATCCACCTGCACATTGCACTTTATTTTGAAAGACTTTTGATATAATATTTTTACTATATGCACGTGCACACTTGTATATGCTTTTGCACAATATAGATGGAGTGATCACAGTAGATCAGAGGGGCACTAATTTAGATTGTATTATTTGAATTTAATTGTATTTTTCACAGTCACAATCAATTTAGGATTGATTGTTATCAGTCACATGTATGAAGGTTCTTGATTTATTTATATTTATATAATTTGCTTGATTCACTAGTCATAGTGATTCACCATTAATTTATTATTGCTATTTTATTTTATTTAATAACTGTATTTATTGGTCACAGAGATTTATGTATTGTTTTAGATAAATATTCATGTACCTCTAGGAGTAAGAGATATATATACTAGTAAATAGGAGCGCGGCACTATGAATTCCAGAGTTTATCAAGACATTTGCAGGAAAACGTACGACCATCTGTCCGCCAACTGAAGCTCCGCAGAGGATGGGTGATGCAACAGGACAATGACCCAAAGCATATAAGTAATTCAACAAAACAATGGCTGCAACAGCACAGAATACGCCTTCTGGAGTGGCCCAGTCAGAGTCCTGACCTCAACCCGATTGAAATGCTGTGCCATGACCTTAAGAGAGCAATTCACACTAGACATCCCAAGAATATTGCTACACTGAAACAGTTTTGTGAAGAGGAGTGGTCCAGATCGTTGTGCAGGTCTGATCTGCAACTACAGGAAACGTTTGGTTGAGGTTATTGCTGCCAAAGGAGGGTCAATCAGTTATTAGGTCCAAAGATTCACATACTTTTTCCTCCCTGCACTGTGAATTTTTACATGTTATGTGCAATTAAACCATGGCAACATCTAATGTTTGTGTAGTATTATGTTCAGCAGACTGTGTTCTTCTATTTTTGTGACTTAGATGATGTTCAGAGCACATTTTATGCCCAATTCATGCAAAACGCCACGTGATCCCAAGGGGTTCACATACTTTTTCTTGCGACTGTACATGTAAGCTTTATTATAAGTGGGTAAAAATTAAACAAATAGTTTATTACCACTTTAAGGCCGCCCTTACCCTACAAAAAAACCATAAACACATAACTAATAAGCAAAAAAAAGCCATGAAAAAACTTTGATAATCCAAATATGTGATGAAAATTAATGTCTCTTAAAGTGCCAGTGCTCAGAAAAAGTGTCAGTGCTTCAAAAAATATATACTTTCTTCTATAGCAAAGTGTCACACACTCACCACCACCAGCCTTCTACTGTGTGCAAAACAGTGCCCTTGCCCCGATGGGACCACAATCACCACATGAAGATGACCACCCTAGCTGCAAGTTCCATTCACAGATTAACATGTAGCTGTGAGTAAAAATCGTTTCAGCTGGCCTGCAGTCTCTGCTAGACCCCATTAAGATGGCCGCGCACATGCAGATTCCAACAAAATGGCGGCCGGCATATATATATATATATCTATCTATAGAAGCAACTGTAGTGATGTCCAATCGTATCCCCCTGATGAAGTCACGTGACCCGGTGACGCAACGCGTAGGGGAGGGGCTCTGACGTCACAACGTTGCCTAGGACACAGCACGGCGAGTATAGCAGAGACTGCAGGCCAGATGAAACGATTTTTACTCACAGCTACATGTTAACCACTTGCCTACCGGGCACTTATACCCCCTTCCTTACCAGGCCAATTTTCAGCTTTCAGCGCTGCCGCACTTTGATTGACAATTGCGCGGTCATGCAACATTGTACCCATATGAAATTTTGATCATTTTTTTCTCACAAATAGAGCTTTCTTCTGGTGGTATTTAATCGCCACTGGGCGCTTTACTTTTTGCGCTATAAATTAAAAAAATGTGCAAAAAATTTGAAAAAAAAAAAAAAAAAAATTATGTGTTTCTTTTATAAAATTTTTCAAACAGGTATTTTTTCTCCTTCACTGATTTGCGTTGATGAGGCGGCACTGATGGGCACTGATAGGCGGCACTGATGGGCACTGATAGGCAGCACTAAAGGGCACTGATAGGCAGGACTAATGAGGTGGCACGGATAGGCGGCACTGATAGACAGCACTAATTAGGGGTCACGGATAGGCGGCACTGATATGCAGCACTGATAGGCGGCACTGATAGGTGACACTGATGATGGGTACTGATAGACGGCACTGACTGGCATCACTTCTGGGCACTGACTGGCGGCACTGACTGGCACAACCCCTGGGCACTGACTGGTGGCACTGACTGGCAGCACTGGTGGGTGGCACTGGTGGGTGGCACTGGTGGACAGCACTGGTGGGTGGGCACAGGTGGGTGGCACTGGTGGGCACAGGTGGGTGGGCACAGGTGGGTGGCACTGCTGGGCACATGTAGGTGGCACTTCTGGGCACAGGTAGGTGGCACTGCAGAGTGGCACAGGTGGGGGCACTGCTGGGCACAGGTGGGGGCACTGCTGGGAATGGGTGGGCGGGGCTAGTGGGCGCACTGCTGATCGGAACTTGCGGGGGTCACTGCTGGGCACCGATCATCAGGGCACTGATCATCAGTGCCCTGATGATCGGTGCCGATCCCCGCTCTGACAACTGCCGGTTCTCGACAGTACTTTCCTCACGATCTGACAGCGTGAGGAAAGTGCAGCCGAGAACCGGCACTTGCATTTTCCTGTGATCAGCGTGTCATTGGACACCGCTGATCACGTGGTAAAAGGCCGGTGGGATCGGCCTTTCACCACATCACGTGATCAGCTGTGTCCGTAGGACACAGCGATCACGGAGATCGCCGGGTGCGCGCCCCCTGGGGCGCACAGGAGAGCGCGTTCTGGGAGGACGTCATATGACGTCCACTCAGAACTGGCCGGCCGCGGTGAAGCCGTCTTTCGGCTATGCGCGGTCGGCAAGTAGTTAATCTGTGAATGGAACTTGCAGCAATTAATAAAATCCAACTTTAAAGGATAAAGCACTATGGTCTCTATTTTTCTTCACATTATTTATCTGTGACACATTGGAGAGAGATCTACATAGGAGGAAGGAGATCTCTGGAGGAAAAAAGAGAAACATCCATCAATCAACATTTGATCAGTACTAGATACAGATACTGCAGAGACCCCAGGTGGAGTGAGAGTCTATCACAGTCATCCTATTTTGCCATTTGGAAAATCCCATGCAGGAGGATCATCCCAGTAGTCCTACAAGGACAAAAAGCTAGTTTTGCCTTATTTATAAGGCAAAACCTGAGGTGGTGGAGCGGCATTGCACTATAAGAAATTTACACTAAAAAAGGACTGTTTATGAGCATGTGTTCATATATGTTTATACATCACTTTATATATTCACTAATATTATTAGCACAATATATGTTATTTTATTTAAGATGGTATAGGTAGTCCAACATATAAGTTTTTATATTATTTATAATTATTTATCCACTGTACTTATTTTTTATTATTAATTTATATTATTAATTCTTTTATTGTAATCATCCTTACATCCATTACATGTAATCATGTAAACACACAGGAGCGCGGCACTTTTCATATATTTTTATGTATGCTGATCAATAGCACTGATTTCACTAACCGCATGCTTCTTCTGGGCATTGAAGCCAGGGTCTACAGTGCAACTGGCATTTTCAAAGGTGATCAGTGTAAAACTCCATGTGATGGATAACTGGGTGGTAAATTGAGCCTAATATGAAATAAACATGGAGTGTGCTGTTGCTGATCTCTCTTTTTAACCACCTCCCGTCCAGCCGTTGTATATAAACGGCCGAACGGTGGCAGTGCAGGGGCAGGTGGCCATTTATAAACAGCCTCCCCACCCCCTGCTTGTGAGCGCTCCCTGGGAGCGCGCAGCACCACAATCCCGGTGCCAGCTGTGTCCTCCGGACACAGTGGAACAACGATCGTCGTACGGGACCTCTATGTAAAGTCCCGATTATGTGATCACCGATTGGCCAATCGGTGATTACATGCAGAGTAGTAAGCAAGATGTCACTTCTGACATCATTGCTTACTACATGTGAAATCTGTGAATGATCACAGAGGTCACATGGCACAAGGCTATTCACAACAGCCTTGTACCATGTGACAATCTGTGGCCAATCACAGCTCACACAGTATTTCTCAATGGCTGCAAGAATGCAGCCAGAGAGGAGGAGAAATGATTGCTTGTACAGCTTTTATGGGTGTAAAAGCAATCAGTGTAAAAAAAAAAAAATCTTCATCACACCCCCACAAGTAGTACAGTGTCACCATGGTGACACTGTACTGCTAGAGTGACAGTATGTTAAAAAAAAACAAAGCATAAATAATAATATAAAAAATAAAATAAAAAAATGTAAAAAAAAAAATTTTTTAAATGATACTGTTTTGGTTATAAACTAATTTGGGTTATTTTTTTTACTAAAAAGATAACTGAATACATTTTGGCCAAGATTTATGATGAAATATTATTGATTTGCAAAATTTTATAAGAAAAACACTTTTTTTTCAAAATTATTGAACTTTTTCATTTATATAGCAAAAAAAAAAAAAATTGTTGAAGAAATACCACCAAAATAAAGCTTTATCTGTCTCAAAAAAATGCTAAAAACTTCATATGGGTACAGTGTTGCATGACTGCGCAATTGTCATTCAAAGTGTGATCGCGCTGAAAGCTAAAAAATTGGCCTGGACAGGAAGGGGGTGAAAGTGTCTGGATAATTTTTTTCAAAATTATTGAACTTTTTCATTTATATAGCAAAAAAAATAAAAATTGTTGAATAAATACCACCAAAATAAAGCTTTATCTGTCTCAAAAAAATGCTAAAAACTTCAAATGGGTACAGTGTTGCATGACTGCGCAATTGTCATTCAAAGTGTGATCGCGCTGAAAGCTAAAAATTGGCCTGGACAGGAAGGGGGTGAAAGTGTCTGGACTAAAACTGCCATATGGCTATGACTGACTATCATGCTGACTCTTTAAGAACCACATTATACTTTTAACCCATTGCTGGCAAAACCTCGACCGTGACAAGATCACTTACAGGGAAGAGAAATACCTGCTTGCACATTACCTCTCCCTCATTGGTCAGATTAGAGAGACAATGCTGACATGTGACATTCTGCAGTGTTTCTATCAGTGAGGGAACAACACAACACTCATCCAACCAAAGAGAGAGCAAAATCATTTGAGCACTTGAGAATTTTCTCTACATTTCTTAGCAATCCTGACATGGGTGAGTTGTCCTCAGTGACAAGATTGCATGTGCGCCCTAATTTAATACTGTTTAGTAATGGACCTGGGACAAATATACAGGTCTTGGACTTAACTTTCCTCTGAACCACCTTATCTTCACAGTTGTTCTGGGTCACTAACACAGAAAGAAACATAGCCATTGGGTAAAACATTACAGCCAAGTTGTTCCCAAGGTCTGTGCATGCATTACAGCAGTTAGGAGGGGTTTCCACTTACTCCGTGGGATTTTCAATTTATTTAATTACTGGAGTTCCCAAGAGATATGAGAAGCCAAGGGGTTACGCAGCTGATCAGACTCCACCAATAACTATAATATGACTTTTGGGTAAACTGAATGCCATGTTTTATTGCTGGATGCGGCAAATTCTTTAGCAGAGTCTGGAAATTTTGTGTTGCTTATGTCCTCAGAGCTGTCAGGAAGATCCTGGAAAGAGCACGGCAGTTGGTAGACTCCAAGAAAGAAGATGGCTTCACCGCCCTGCACCTGGCCACACTGAACAACCATCAGGAAGTGGTGGAGATCTTAGTCAAAGAGGTACACACAGCATGGTAGAGATGTCCTGACAACAGTATGTACAATATGGGGGACTATTTCAGATTACCCTTCAAGGTTTATGTAAGCTCTAATGAGTAGGGCCCTCTGTTTCCTCTTGTACCAAATTGTATTGTAACTGTAATGTCTGCCTTCATTTTGTAAAGCTCTGCGCAAGCTGTTTGTGCTATATAAATTATTATTATAATACAGGATTTATATAGCGCTGACAGTTTGCTCAGCGCTTTACAAAATGAAGGTAGACATTACAGTTACAATACAATTTGGTACAAGAGGAAACAGAGGGCCCTGCTCGTTAGAGTTTACAATCTAGGAGGATTTAAATCCTGTATAATAATAATTTAATCCTGTAATAATGAAGTTAAAGAGAAGTACTTTTTTTAGTTTTTTTTTTAATTTGTGAACCTTTCTTTTGAATTCTGTGAGCAGTATCATCCAATACAAGTCTAACTATAGAGCCTAAAGTTTTCTACCACTTAAGAACCTTTAATTGGACTCCAGGCAATATGTAAAGGCAGTCACTAAACGGTTGACACTGTCCAGAAAACATAGCAAATGTTCGAATAGCTAGTACTAGTTAGCCAAATTCAACTGGATTTGTTCTATAATGTTGTAGGTGTTTTGCAATCTTAAACACGCAGCTTACTCAGTTTTAATGACATTTAGAACTCAAGAAGCTTCTTGGACAAGCAGTGAAATATCTTCAGTGTTGTAGAACAAGTCATTTTGAATAGATTTGTGGCTAAGGCCCCTTTTACACAGGCTTTCCAATCAGGTCTATCAGTTTTGCAGGCACACCTGATCCGAAGTTCCTTTTAGTCTGTAGCATGAGGATGTAAACAGACTTGTGTTCTTTTATGTCTGCCTACCTCCGAGTCTGTCCAGGTCCAGAAAAAGAAAAAAAATTAAATGGACCTTTCCATTTTTCTGGATCTCATGTGACAGATCAGAGGTAGTCAAATGTAAATGGGTACAGTTCTGTTTACATCAGGTCACCCATGGTTCCACCACAGTCTCATGTCAAAATTCTGACGATAACTGATTGGATCTGGATGTCACAAAACTGACATCCGTCCTGTTCAGTTCAGATTCAGCAGGGGATCTGCTCAGGCATTCCTGGGTGAACATAGCAGAGCAGCACCATTTGGCCCGACTGCATTGCACACAAAATTTAACAAGTTTTTCACAATGGTTCTGGGTTTGACTGCAGCCTCTCCTCACTTGATTCTGTATTTCTTCTCTACGACTAGCCATATATGCATAGATTTCTCTTATTCAGGCCATCAGCTGAGTGAGAGAAAATCAGTCTATTCCTCTATTCACACTAAATAGTATGGATGGAGGTATTTCCACTGCAAGCTATTGTTTTTAGACCGTGACACCCACAGGAGCCCGAATACCTGAACAGTGTCTTCATCTGACAGGATGCAGTCTTTGTTTAGCTGATCATTTTTCAATGGACTTCACTGATTTTTAAATCCACTTTTGCTGAGCTGGGTGGTACTGACAGGGCCCCCCATGGCTCAAATTTCTTGCTGAATCAGCCCAAATTTGCACCATGTTTGGCCAGCTTAGGAATTCAGAGGGTATTTCACAGAATCTGACCTCCTTCAGTTTAGACATTAATTCAGAAAATAAGGATGCTGGCAAGCACACTAATTAGGCTAGTCCGGAAGATGACCCACGAGGAACAGAGCTAAAGGCAGTCAGCAGGTAACCATGTGCTACAAATTTAAATGTACATTTATTTGTGGCTGCACTGTACCTTTAGGCTGGATTCACACTATTGCAGCGTGGTAACATGTGTTGCGTAAAGACAGTCCATTTAATTGCATAGGCTGTCTAACGCACCAAAAGAGTGCATGCACTATTTTTTGTTTCACAGTGCATCAAAAAGCATGGTAATGGAATATTATGCGTTGTAGTGTGCGGCAGCATACAGTATGTGACGGGAGTGACTTTTGGGGGTGGGGGGGACCCGTCTCAGCTCCTTCTGTTCCTCTTCTGTCCAAGGCACCCTGTGCCTGTTAGGGGTACAGGGTGAAATGTTCTAATATTGGTGTGGGGATTGTTCATTGTTCTCTGCCATGCAGCTGCATCCCATTGTAATAGTAAAATATTATGGGATGTAATGTTTGTGTATTGGTGTGGGGGTTGTTCATTATTCACTGCCATGTGGTCCCATTGTTCTATTATGTGTTTGTGTATTGACTTAGTGGGGGTGTTTCCAGCAGCCCTCCTGATAGGACTGTCTGTTGGGATGTGTCTCTGGTTGCTAAATTTGGTTTGCCCCGCTCTGTGTCCTTTTGCAGGGAGGTGGGTTGTTCCCTTGAATGTTTATATCTTGTGTCTGTGTAAAAATAAAGCAGTCCACTTCCTGTTTTAAGATGAGTCTGGTGCTGTCTATTTCCTGTATGGTCAGGGTGGTGTCCGTGGTTGGTGTTCGGACAGGGAAGCAGGAGTCTAACGGAAATACCCTAGTGCAGTCGGGGTCTGGTTCTGTTACACAGTATGTGCATGTTGTTTTTAAGCATTGTTGTAACACACACATTGCTGCAGTGCAGCAGTATGAACCCAACCTTAGGGCCCATTCACACATGTACATTGCAGTAACACAGACATTACTGCAAATCATCAGCTCTATGTGTGGAGTCATTTATTGTGAATGGCACTCCAACTTACTGTACAGTAGAGGGTAATTCACGATGAATACTGTGTTATTAACAAGTTTTATTTGTGTGTTTTTTCATCTTTTGCAATGTGTTGGCTGCCCATTCATTGGGTATAAGCAACACTGATACGCAATCGTAATGCAAAAGTGTGAGTAGCTTGGTTTTCAGGCTATTCACTATGCTTTGTTCTCTCTGGTTAGTCCACTCATTAATTGCAAAGCTGGTAGAGAAACCCTTTGGATTCCCCTGCAGCAGGGGCCTTGTTGGCACTCTGTTATTTGTAATATTTCCAATGCCAGTTATACTTTAATATTTTCTAATAGGATATCAAGTTTAAAAAGCCACCCCTAGAATCTGAAACCACCTTACGCGTTTTCAATTTGTGTCACTTTAAAGGGACGGTGCGATGTCAATCTCAGGAACAACAGAAACCAAACTCCTCTACACCTGGCAGTGACTCATGGGCACATTAGCCTTGTGCAACTCCTGGTGACGGAAGGAGGTGATGTAAATGCAGAAGACGAGGATGGAGATACTCCTATGCACATAGTACTAGTACAGCAGCACCTCACCTCTCTGGAGCCTGAAGGCGTTGGCTCAGCTTTGCTCAACAAGGTAATACCAGATGATAGTGCATGCATTGCTGTGTATGTATATATATATATCTGTGTGTGTTTTTGTTTTTTTTTTTTAACTTGCATGTTTGAATCCACTTACCGTTGACTGACTCACTACCGCAATTAGAAGTCTATTCACTGCCTCTGCTAGTGAAGTATATTAGTGAGATCACAAACAGCTTGGCCTGGCTTAATGTCACGTTTATTGCTGCCAAGAGGGGTGAGGATGGAGAAAGGCAGAACTGACAGTTTGTAGCTGGGGAACAGCAGCAGTCAGAGTGGTTTTGCAATTGGCTTCTAATATGATTGACCATTAATCATTCACAAGTGTAATCTCATACCTATAGGCATCCTTATGGCTAGCACACGATGAGAAAATCGAACAAAAGATCATCCATTGTTCTTGTTTTTTGTTTTTTTTTAAATCTAGTCTCATATCGAACCCAAGGGGGATTACGAACGGTAAGACATTTATGATACAACAGAAACAATTTACGTACGTAGCAACATTCTCCCAGTTCATTCTTTTGTTTCCGCTCATGCACTATCTTGTACACTCAAATTCTTTTGTACGGACACCATACTAATTACACGATGATCATGATCGGCTGTCGGAAGCTATGTACTAACAGTTAGATTAGAGAACGATCGCTCTGATTACAGTTATTTTTGTACGATTTTCTCATCATGTGTGCTAGCCATTAGGTAGGACAGCATAATAATCACACTTGTACATATTTACAGTATATTACTGATCTTGTTCCCTTATATTTGTGTCGGATCTTGAAATATCATTTTATATCAAGTGCAGGGTCTAAAGTTATCCATTGTATCCAGTGCATTGCATGTGCACTTGCCAAAGGGAAATTAGACAAAAGTCTGTTTTACAATAGTGTTGCCAAGTAACTTATAATGTCAAGTTTATCACTTTTTTTAAACAGCTGAAGTTATCACTTAGACTACAGTGTAAAAAAGCAATTCATTAGCTTCTTATATAGCAGAGTACAAAACAAAAATCAAAAAATTTGGCCCAGTGAATTGAGGACTGATGATCAAGAAAGAGCATGATACATGCCTTGTACAACTCAAATAAAAGTTTATCCCTTTATACAAGTGAGGTGGCTTGGCTCATTCAGCCAGTTAGACCTTTTACACAGGGGCAAACATTGGGGGCCCGTTTAAAGTAAACATGTTACTAGTTTAAACCTGCTTCATGGATAGTATGACTGGAATGCAGGCACTTGACCACTGTTCCATGCTGTTCGATACCCTGCAGAATCATATATATATATTTGTCAAGTATTCATATGATGTGTTTGTTTTTTTTTTTTGTTTTTATTTTTGTGTGTTGTTTTATGTATTTGTATGGAATGTCTTTTCTGTTGTTTTTTGTTGTTTTGGGTTTTGATTTTTCTGTTTATTATTTTTGGTTTCTGTTTGGTTTTGTTTTGGAATGGTTTTTTGTTTGTTGTTGACTGGAATTTTTCTGTTTTGGATCATTTGGTTTTGGATTTTGTCTTTTATGGTTTGGATTTTTTTTTGCGTTTGTTTTGGATGATGCGATACCAAAACATTTTTGTCTTCATCCAGTTCTCATAGGTTATCCAGCCTGTCTGTGACTCTCACATGGTTTCTTTAGAGCGGAATAATTTATAAGGATCAACTTTTGTTTCATTTGAGAAAAAAAGTAGTCATGACCTCCTGTGGGGGGTCAAAGCCTAGAATGTGTATTTTTATACTTTATGTATTCTTTTTTCTAGCTGCAAGCTACTGGGTTGCTTGGAAACACAGAATTAAATGTTGGAACAGCAATCGCTTGCCTCTTGGCTTTGTCAGGGGCAGACATTAACTATGCTAATCACAGAGGAAAATCTCCTTTGGACCTGATAACGGATGGGAGGATAGCACACCTTGTGAAAAAACTTTACTCAGAGATTCAGGTACATATGTCTTTTAAATATTCTCAGGTGATACCAGGGACCCTTCACCTACTTACCGTATATCTGGTAAATTTTACAAGCAACAAAAATGCCATGTATTGAGTCTCAAAATAAGATTTTTCATTAATTAAAATAGCCAGCTGGAACAAGTTATATTCTGACATGCTTCATGCTAGGCACAGTGCTTTCCCAAAGAATTAAATAGTCATTCTTTGAGAAAACGCCATGCCTAGTGCAAAACATGCACATTTCGGTGTGCGGCATTGCTGTTGCTGGTTCAGTTGATTGTTTCAGTGAAGACGAGCCAAACCAGCGTCTGAGATATGATTGCGGAGTGTGCAGCCTGTTTTTTTGCTAGGAAATTTTCGACTTATACCTGATGGCACTGCCAGGCACCTTTCAGCTGTTTTGCAGAAAAGGATGAGATGTGTCGTTGCTGACTTCTGCCGATCAGCCATGCTGGCCCTTTGCTCCAGTTTTTTGAATCATTGGCCTGCCACAAAAATGCAGATAAAGCCTTCTGGTTTTCAAATTTTCTTGATCTGCATGTTTGTTTCAAGACAGTGACCCCAAAAGTGCTGATGTTAATGGGTTAGCTTGACAGCCAGGCAACTAGAATTTTCAAAAGAATGTCAACAGTGGCATTTCATGCATTTCTCTCAGCTTTAAAGTTTGACTGTACTATATTATCTCCTAAATAACTCCCCTGTCCTTAGGGTCTTCTGCTTATCTGTTCATTCTGTGCAGCCCATTGAGAACTACAAAGTTGCTACTGGAAACTTCTAACCAACCCCAAAGTGTTTTACACATGCGCAGACAACATCCTATTTATTTTTCTTTAGAGAAGTTTTCTGTTATGTGATGCAATGATAGATGCCTCACTATAGGAATGATTGGGATTTGCCTGTGAATGAAGAGAAAACTTATTGGCCATCCCAGTGCCTTTTTATTGGCTGCTACACAGTTCTCTATGAGCCACACATTGTGAATCAGTCAGGATCATGGACAGGCGGGAATAAAACCTTGTGAGTACAGTTTTTCTCTCCTACGCCAACTATCTTGTGTCTCGCCCCCAACAGATATACACAAAATCAAAACTAGTTTACCAAGATTTACAATATTGTAACAATAGGTAGGAAGATTATAATTGCAGAAATGGAATCAAAATCAAATTAAGGTAGTCACAATCTGATACATATCCGCAAAAACAAAATAAATACTGTATTCACGCAACCAGCAATAAGTCTGCAAACACAATCAATACCATACTGATGCAACTAGAAACATGACCTCAGACATTATCAGTACCAAACTGACACAATCGGCAGAAAAATGTCCTCCGACACAATCGGGACTGTACCAACGCAAACAGCAGCATGTCCTCAGACACAATTGGTATCATACTGATGCAAGCAGCAATATGTCCACTGACCCAGTCGGTACCATACTGACGCAGCCAGCAACATATTCTCAGATACACTCGGCACCATACAGACTCAATGCGCAACATGTCCTCGGACACAATCAACACTGCACAAATCCAGCCAGCAACATATCCTCATGTGTAATCAGTGCCCGCTGACCTAACCAGCAACATGTCTGCAGACGTCATCAGTACCATACTGACATAACCAGCAACATGATCTCGGATACAAACAGTACTGTAATAATGCAACCAGCAACATACCTGCAGACACAATTAGTACTGAACTGACAACCTATGCTCCGACACAGTCAGTACATACCGACAAGCCAGCAACATATCCGCAGACACCATCAGTGCCATACTAACACAACCAGCAACATATCTGCAGACACCATCAGTGCCGTACTAACACAACCAGCAACATATCTGCAGACACAATCAGTGTCGTACTAACACAACCAGCATACTGCAGAAACAATCGGTACTGTTCTGACTCAACCTGCAACCTGTCCTCAGAAACTATCGTACTGTACTGACACCATTGGCAAAATAAGAAAGTGTCTGCAGACCATAGGTGTTGCTGGAGACTATAAGACAGAATCGGGAGGGGTTAAGATATCTAATTTTTTATAAACCATCATTATAACAAACATATGAAAGATATATATCAGTACTAAAGGAGTAGCCAGCCCACAAAAACATAAAAGGCAATAGCACAAATGAAAAAAAGAGAAATCTTCAGGTAAAATCTTCAGATCAGATGCTCCAAATCTGATGATGAACTCGCTTTTCGCTGCCCTCTTCAGATAGGGGAAATCCTTTTATAAAGGATAAGTTCACCTTTTTACAAAAAATAATAAATGCACATTTTTTTTTTTGCATATAAAAAAATGTGCATTTATTATTTTCTTTTGTTTCTGGAGCCTCTAAAGCAGGGTTCTCCAAGCGTTTCAAGCAAAGGGCCAGTTTACTGTTCTTCAGACTTTACGGTGGCTGGATTGTGTCCAGTGGAGGTGTTAAATGTCTTGGGCCCAGCATCGGGGAGAATAAACATGGCCTCAGGGTTGGTGGTCAGTAGGATGAGGAGTAGTGCCCCATAATTGGTGTCAGTGGGGGGAACAGTGCCATATCATTGGTGTCAGTGGGAGGAATAGTGCCCCATCATTGGTGTCAGTGGGAGGAATAGTGCCCCATCATTGGTGTCAGTGGGAGGAATAGTGCCCCATCATTGGTGTCAGTGGGAGGAATGGTGCCTCATCATTGGTGTCAGTGGGAGGAATAGTGCCCGATCATTTGTTTCAGTGAGAGGAACAGTGCCCCATCATTAGTATTAGTGAGAGGAATAGTGCCCTATCATTGGTATCAGTGAGAGGAATAGTGCCCCATCATTGGTATCAGTGAGAGGAATAGTGCCCCATCATTGGTATCAGTGGGAGGAATAGTGCTCCATCATTGGTATCAGTGGGAGGAATAGTGCTCCATCATTGGTGTCCGTGGGAGGAATAGTGCCCCATCATTGGTGTCAGTGGGAGGAATAGTGCCCTATCATTGGTGTCAGTGGGAGGAATAGTGCCCCATCATTGGTGTCAGTGGGAGGAATAATGCCCCATCATTGGTGTCAGTGGCAGGAATTAGGCCCCACTGTTGGTGGCAGTGGTAGGAATATGCCTCATATCACTGGAAGGAAAAGCACCCCAAAGGCTGGATAATGGCCAGCAAAGGGCTGCATCCGGCCCTCAGGCCACAGTTTGGAGACCACTGCTCTAAAGTATTGCACCAGCAATCAGCAGATCGCGGATCTCATGCAGGTCTCCTGCAGGCCTGTCAGTATATTTGCTTGCCCATACAGGATGTATAGGCTAGCAGATATATTGACAGGAAGGATCCATGAACTACCACGGTGCTCCACAGTGCTGTTGTAGTTCATTGAGAATTACAAGCCGACAGCTGCTTAGGCTGTAGAAGATCACCCGCTAGCTGTCACAACAGGGAGCGAAGAGGAGCAGGGGCTGGTTCATTCCTAACATGTTACATGTTACACCCTGAATATGGATATAACATGTAATATGTTACGAAAGGTGAACTTATCCTTTAAGCTACAATAAAACACACAAAGAGAGGGGGCACAAACCTCGTGCATTACCACAAAACCATTTTATAGGACTAAAACGTGAAATATACTCACAAACGTAAGTAAAAACTGAAATATCAATGATCCAACAGCTGCAGTCCAGTGTGATGTATAGGTGATGCCCATATGCATGGAGCAAGGTTAATATGTTTCCAGGGCGGAACCTTCTTCATCAGCGCAAACAGAGGCATATTGAACTACATGAATATATACAGTGGGGATCGAAAGTTTGGGCACCCCAGCTAAAAATTTGTATTAATGTGCATAAAGAAGCCAAGGAAAGATGGAAAAATCTCCAAAAGGCATCAAATTACAGATTAGACATTCTTATAATATGTCAACAAAAGTTCGATTTTATTTCCATCATTTACACTTTCAAAATAACAGAAAACAAATAAAAATGGCGTCTGCAAAAGTTTGGGCACCCTGCAGAATTTATAGCATGCACTGCCCCCTTTGCAAAGCTGAGACCTGGCAGTGTCATAGATTGTTCTCAGTCATCGACTGGGAAAACCAGGTTATGTCAATCTCAAAGGTTTTAAATGCCCAGACTCATCTGACCTTGCCCCAACAATCAGCACCATGGGTTCTTCTAAGCAGTTGTCTAGAAAACTGAAACTGAAAATAGTTGACGCTCACAAAGCTGGAGAAGGCTATAAGAAGATAGCAAAGCGTTTTCAGATGTCAATATCCTCTGTTCGGAATGTAATTAAGAAATGGCAGTCATCAGGAACAGTGGAAGTTAAAGCAAGATCTGGAAAACCAAGAAAAATATCAGACAGAACAGCTCGCAGGATTGTGAGAAAAACAATTCAAAACCCACGTTTGACTGCACGATCCCTCCAGAAAGATCTGGCAGACACTGGAGTTGTGGTACACTATTCCACTATAAAGAGATACTTGTACAAATATGGTCTTCATGGAAGAGTCATCAGAAGAAAACCTCTTCTACGTCCTCACCACAAAAAATCATCGTTTGAACTTTGCAAATGAACATATAGACAAGCCTGATGCATTTTGGAAACAAGTTCTGTGGACTGATGAGGTTAAAATTGAACTTTTTTTGCCGGAATGAGCAAAGGTACGTTTGGAGAAGAAGGGGCACAGAATTTAAGGAAAAGAACCTCTGTCCAACTGTTAAGTATGGGGTTGGATCAATCATGCTTTGGGGTTGTGTTGCAGCCAGTGGCACAGGGAACATCTCACGAGTAGAAGGAAAAATGGATTCAATAAAATTTCAGCAAATTTTGGATGGTAACTTGATGCTATCTGTGAAAAAGCTGAAGTTAAAGAGAGGATGGCTTCTACAAATGGATAATGATCCTAAACACACCTCGAAATCCACGGGGGATTACATCAAGAGGCGTAAACTGAAAGTTTTGCCATGGCCTTCACAATCTCCTGACCTCAACATAATTGAAAATCTATGGATAGACCTTAAAAGAGCAGTGCGTGACAGACAGCCCAGAAATCTCAAAGAACTGGAAGACTTTTGTAAGGAAGAATGGGCAAAGATACCTCAAACAAGAATTGAAAGACTCTTGGCTGGCTACAAAAAGCGTTTACAAGCTGTGATACCTGCCAAAGGGGGCAGTACAAGATATTAACTCTGCAGGGTGCCCAAACTTTTGCAGACGCCATTTTTTTGTTTTCTGCTCTTTTGAAAGTGTAAATGATGGAAATAAAATCTAACTTTTGTTGACATATTATAAGAATGTCTAATCTGTAATTTGATGCCTTTTGGAGATTTTTCCATCTTTCCTTGACTTCTTTATGCACATTAATATAAATGTTTAGCTGGGGTGCCCAAACTTTCGATCCCCACTGTAGCACCTATACGAAATGGAAAACACACCCTATGTCACACATGATACTCACCAAAATTAGGGGGGGGGGGGAGACTTGGTTCAACCAGTTAACCCATGTTAGCCCATTGCCAACCACAGTACTCTGGGGAACAAAAAGGACTAATCAGAGAACATAGTTATGATGAGGTAATGATTTATGAAAAAGAATCATTTAATTATAAAGATAACAGAAATTAAGAATGGCAATAATAAATCATTAACTGAATACTGTCAGACCTACGTCTTAGATGAAACAATGGATGTACAGTGGGTATAGAAAGGAATCACCCCCCACCCCCTTTTACAATAATCACATTTTGTTGCTTTGCAGCCTGAAATGAAGAGACAGTTTGTTTTATCCAGCTGTATTTACTCAGTGCAACTTATCGCATCCAAGTGAAAGATGCCAACCAACATGTCAGAATTTTTTTTTTTTTTCAAATTAAAAAAAAAAGAATCAATTGAGTTGGAAAAGTGATCACCCCCTTGTGTCAGTATTTTGTTGACCCACCTTTTGCTTTAATTCCAGCCTTAAGTCAGTTGGGATATGTCTCTACTAACTTTACGCATCTATATTTGTCCACTCTTCTTTGCAGAACTGCTCAAGTTCAGTTAAATTTGATGGTGACTGTTTGTGGACTAAGTCTGGGCTTTGACTAGGCCATGCTAGAACATTCACCTTTTTCTAATTCAAGCACTGTGTGGTCATTTTTGCTGTGTGCTTTGGGCCATTGCCATGTTAGGAGGTAAACCTTTTTCCCATTGACAACATTCTGGAATAGGGCAGAAGAATATGACGGTATTTTGTCCCGTCCATTTTTCCTTCTATCCTGACAAGTGCTCCAGTCCCTGCTGCAGAGAAAACCCCCATAACAGAATATTACCACGTCCACACTTTACTGTAGGAATGGTGTTATTTGGATGATGAGCTATTTTGGATTTTCACGAAACCTATAGTTTAGTGTTGAGACCAGATAATCGCATTATAGCCTCATCTGACCAGAACACCTTTTTTTCCATGTGGCCTCAGAATCTTCAAGGTTTGTTTTGGCAAAGTTCAGTGGTGACTGCATGTGGTCTTTCTTGAGGAGTGTTTTTTTTTCTTGCAACCCTCCCATACAAGCCACATATGTGGAGAATTTGTGATATTGTCACATGGACACAATGACCACTTTTTGTCATAAATTCCTACAACTCCTTCACAGTTGCTGTAGGCCTCTTAGTAGCCTCTTGACAAGTTCCCTCCTGGCTCTTACATCCAGTTTGGAGGGAAGTGCTGATCCAGAGAGAGTCTGTGTTGTACCAAATACCTTCTACTTAATAGACTTCACTGTGCTTCTAGGCACTGATAAAGCCTTTAAAAAAATGTTGCGTCTATTTCTTAACTTGTGCCTGTCCACAACTTTTATCCAGGAGATCTTTTGGAAAGTCCCTTGCCACCCATAGTTGTTTGCTTCAGTTGCACTACCAGGGACTAAAATGCTCCAGGAAAGCTCTTTTCATGCTGAGCTAATCAAAATAACCACAGATGATCACAGTAGTTTGGGGCAATATGGTGTGTGTGTATACAGTATCTCACAGAAGTGAGTACACCCCTCACATATAAATATTTTATTCTATCTTTTCATATGACAACACTGAAGAACGGACACTTTGCTACAATGTAACGTAGTGAGTGTACAGCTTGTATAACAGTGTAAATTTGCTGTCCCCTCAAAAATAACTCAACACACAGCCATTAATGTCTAAACTGCTGGCAACAAACATGAGTACACCCCCTAAGTGAAAATGTCCAAATTGGGCCCAATTAGCCATTTTCCCTGCCCGTTGTCATGTGACTTGTTAGTGTTACAAGGTCTCAGGTGTGAATGGGGAGCAGGTGTGTACTGATCACTGGAAGTTCAACATGGCACCTCATGGCAAAGAACTCTCTGAGGATCTGAAAAAAAAGAATTGTTGCTTTACAAAAAAAAATACTCAGTATTTGGATGACATATGAACCCAGCATAAATCAATACATACATATTAATCATTCAAATAAATACATAAATTGTTATAAAAAGAAAAAAAAAGAGATTCTTGTGTATGGTACATATAGGACTTATTTTTTCCTTTTTTGTACAAATTATTTATATATATATATATATATATATATATATATAACGTATGTATGTATGTACAACTGGTAGATAATAGGCCCCAGCAACTCGTAAATATTGGATGATTTTTGGAAAGGCTTAGAACTTATGTATAATGTTTATTGGTGGTTGTGTCATGTGTAATAGTAATAAATAGTAAATTCCATTTGTTTTTTTAATTTCCTGTGTCCGTGTTGAGGATACTCCCTCTTATTTTCTGTCCTGCAGATAATGGAAACCAGGACTAGCAATGAGAATTTATGAAACACAACAGATGAATGGTCAGCACTATCCTCCATTCTCTATTTAATTTATAAAATTGTGGCTCTTTTATTGAAGTCCTAATCTACTACAAGGATGTTTAGGACACATACTGTGGTCAAGCTTGAAAAAAGTCACTGCTATGATACAGTGTTATCATGATATTTTATACCTTTCTTTGTGATAGATTTGAAAAGACTTCACTAAAATGTGCACTGTTAGAATCTGAAGGGAATGTACTGTATGTGCAGTCATAAATATGACGTGGAAGCAGCCTGTGGAACAGAAGGCTAAGGGCATGGCACATCTTTTTTAAGGATGGGAGTGCATCTAGTGAGGACAGAGACACATATTAAAACCTGACACGAATTCTAACCTTTCCACACTATCAAAAATGTAAGAAAAATGACTAGGATATATACACTGCAGTATTCTTTGATGAATTTGCAGTGTTTTCTTTTCCTCCACCTCCCCTTTCCTGTAGTTTTAACTTGATATGTTCCCCTGAAACACAAAGATTCTATCATATAATTTATGCTTTTTGTTACATTCCTGCTTATCTGTGAGGGGTTGTACATGTGACATTTCAAATAGCATGATATATTGCCTCTACTTGTCTTGTAAATTACAGGGAACAACAAGCTGAGTCAGATTCCTCTACCATCAGCTGCACCCTTCGCAGGGTACACACCACCCCTAACACAATGACCAATCTAAGCCTGCCCACTTCTACCAGTCCTGCTGAGTGCCTGGTGTGCTCAGAGCTTGCAGTGCTCGTCAACTTCTTTCCATGCCATCACAGCATAGTGTGTGAAGGTAAGACCGCCTGTCATATAAACAATTATTTACACATAAATGTACTGTATATAATCCCTATGCCATTTCTGCCATTCATTGATGAGGTTTATTTTTGCTATCTGAAAGCATTTTGTACTACGGTTTTGGATCTTCTTAATAGGGCATAGCTATGACAGTAGCTAAGAAGGGGCTAATTTTTACCAGGTTGCTAAATCTTACATTAATTGTAAACAAACTGTAAAATATCTTAATTGTGCGTTACAGGACACAGGTATTCATTCTTAGACCATGGGTTATGGGCCGCTGCCTTCAGGTGATTAGACTGGCCCACAGTGTACCCATATAAGCCCTGCTCTCTCCAAGAAGGTCCAGTTTTTTTTAGCAGGCAATATGGAGATCACAGAAAAAGTGGGGAAAGACCATGTCTCCTGTGTCACTTCATGAGGCTACAGTTTTTTCTGATAGTATCTAGGTGATGGGCCCCTTTTCCTGTCAGTGAAACTATTTTTCCTACTTTTCACTGGTTTTCCTTATCTTTGACTGTTACTTCTATCAAGATCTTACTGCTTATCTCCTTATGGTTTACTAGCAGTTTCCAGATTGGTTACCATGAATTTACATTTTGAAATTTGTACCCAGAACTCATAATAGTGGGACTGGCCTATAATGTTTGCTTTGGACACTCGATCCTGCATTTGGTACTCACCTTGCTATGTAGTGCAACAGGTGAGTTAGCCGCAGGGTACTATGGTCCATTCTTGGGGCACCGATACCCTGTAGACCCGATCCAGGTTATGCGCCCTGTAATGAGCAAAGTGTAAACCCTGAAGAGCACCAGTGATGTGGACAAGGTAAGACAAGGTTTTCCTGTACCTTCTACATACTGGTTTCTGACTGCAGCAGTCTGATTGATTTATTTCCTGGATAGGTAGTAGATACTACACTTTATCCTTTTATCCTTCAAGAGGAACTACAATGATAGACACACAAGCCATTTGGAGGGCGCAGGTAATGGGGTAATCTATGCTTGTGTGTCTTTACCTTGATTACTACTGTCTTGCTTACAATATGTAATGTTGTTTTAACATTTACCTGATTTACAATTGGTTGTCTTCACTTTCACTTCTACCAGAAGTTTTTCTCTGATGTAGTGCTCATAAGACTTCTGAATTATCTGGTCAAGTCAGATATCTGAGGTATCTTCTGGTGCTCTATCATTAGACCCTTATCAAGACTCTGAGTATTAGGGTGCCTTTCAGACCTTTTTCTATAAAAAGCTCCTGAGCAAAATATCTGACCATAGGCCCAAATTGTGATGCTCTCATTTTCACCTGCAGGTGATACTGTACCGTTTTATGATTTCTTCCACTTTAGCACTTTCTCTATCACTGACATTATGTTCATGAACTGAGCTGACTCCTTTAGGAAAGCCAGTGCCTGGATTCTCCACTCCAGGTCACTAGCTCTATACTCCCCACTATGCGATTGATTTACTATAACTGGAAAGTACAAAATGTGGTGCAGCTGTACTTGGTAGCCAATCAGCTTCTAACTTTTTAGCTTGTTGAATTAAGCGTTGACAAAAAAAAAGCTGGAAGCTGATTGGTTTCTATGAAGAGCTGCAGCAGATTTTGCACTCTCCAGTTTTAGTAAACCAACCCCGATGTATGGCGATTAGCTCCCTCAGAATTGGCCCTGAGTCTTGATATGTCCTCCCTTTCAGTATCAAGGTCAGGGATCACTGTGTCATCTGTTCTATGAGCCGAGCAGTCTTCTGATCTAGCATCCCTAAACAATTGACCTTAACACCAGTTGACACTTCTATGCTGACCTAGTGCTAGAAAAGGACGCATTGCCCCATTCCTCAGTATCACCATTTTGCCTGCCCATTTCATCAACCACATTTATTTATATGCCTGCTCATCCTTCTCAGGCACATACAGATCGCTTCCTTCATACTCTTTAATCTGTTGTGTGGGTTAGTTCTCACCTAGTGTAATAAAGGAACCCTATCCTGAATCCTAGAAATTTTTCTCATTCCTCACCCACAACTTCATTTGCACTCGCATGAAACCCAGCCCTTGCTATCTGGAAGGTCTTGGTTAGACCTTGTATGTCCTTTTCATAACACTTTCATTCCACGCTTCCTGTGCACCCCCTTTTGCAAGACGTTGCCCTTCTTCATCATCAATATAACTTTGCTTTCTGTGCCCCTCTGGGTCCTTCCTCAGGTGCTTCACACAGAGCCCTCTCCTTATGTAAAAAAGGGCTACTCCCTTATAAAGGGCCTTTTTAAGAATGAAACTTTCTTCTGTCCATTTCCTTAGATCCCCCTGCATTCTGCCTAGGAGGCCACCTCTTTTTCTTACATAAGAACAAAGGTTCCTGAAAGCCTGTCTTTCCTGATTCCCAGGGGCTTTTTTTTTTCCACCCCATTAGGATGTTATTCTCACTCCTCTGTTGTGTCTTGAGGACATGCCAAACACTTACCATGTGCCTTATGGATGGGATCAGGACTGCCATGTATTAGTTTGGCAATTGACTCTTCTTCCATTTCTTAGATCTCTCTAGTGCACTTTCCATCTGACTGCACGGTAAATGTACTTTTCCTTAAGGCTTCTGCCCTCAGGGAATGAGTACCTCTGTCTTACTTTGCACTCATTGCCCCTGGAGTTTGGGGTTCTTGTGTCCTCTACAGTATCTATCATTGGTCCTTCTCAAGGGTCACAGGGCCACTGCTTGTTCTTCTGTTCATATTTTTAAAACCTTTTCTTGACAGTTGGTTGTGTGAGCCTGTGCTGATCATGCCTCAGCGATAAAGTGCTTCTGCTCTTGTCTGTCTGTTTGGGTCTCTTGCTACTCCTGTGGGCATGTTCCTACGGTTTTGGCTATTTTGTTGCCCACTAGATATGTACCCCATGCTCATTCACATATAGGGGGCTGGTCATCAGAAGAGGGGAATAGTCCCTTTTCCTCTTCAACATATTGAGGGCATGGCCTGGTATGGTTCAATGGGTCAGGATGGGAGGGCTCATGCAGGGCTGCATGCTCAGGTAAGGGTCTGGTATAAATTTGGGGAGGAGAAGCCAAGCCATTTTTAATTGTTCCATTATGGTTTCCCTCAAAAGCCATACCAGATCCAAAGGGCCTGATGTGGATTGGTGGGTGGGGAGGGGGAACGCATGCTTTTTTATTTTTGTTAATGTTTACATTCTGCTGTCGGTAGATCAGCTGTGGTTGATAAGAACTTGGCGGCCACCCGCTTCTTAACAACCAGCTATTCTTCCAAATTATATTAAACGAATCCGAAAAAATCAATTAAATCAAAATATATGAAACAAATTCCAAACATACGAAACAAATATACAAATCATTCTAACATAACGAATGTGACGAAGCAGAATTATTAACGAATCAAACAAAATTAAACACATTTTTTTCGTCCTGCACATCTCTATTGCCCACCCCTTGAATTGGGAACATTCAGTGGTCTAAGAATCAACTCCTGTGTCCTGTACTGTACTCGCAAGCTATGGAATTTATAGGCATGTCAAAATTCCTATTTTCTTGTGAGAAAAGGTGACATAACAGTTACCAGTGTGATATTTTTTTTTTCTCAGAATGTTCCAGAAGAATGAAGAAATGCATAAAATGTCAGGTGTCAATCACCAAAAAGCTTAGGCAAGGTGAGTACCTATCACTGGGCCAGTTTACAGTGTATGGGAATCAGCCTTCTACATATGGAGTCTCTTAAGGTAGAACTACAAAAAAAAAAAGTTTTTATATCTTGGATAATGTGGGAAGGGGTTAGAACTTTAGTCAAACTGATTTAGTTTTTAGGTATCTTTGAAGACCTTATAAAGTAATATTGTGCAATAATCGTTGTGCCATAAAATAAAAGTGGTGGTAGTTTTGGGCACAGGACTTTGTCCCTGACAGTCAACTCCTGGTAGTTCTTGGTGCAGGGCTTTCAGTACCAAAAAGTATACAGTATGCCCACACCCTGGAATTTCCATCTGCCCCTGGGTTTATCTTAAGGCCAGATTCACACAGCTACACAGTGTTTTAGGCTTCAGATACAGCCTAACCCTTTCATATTCTTGATTCTCTTTAAATGCCAAAAACGTAGCGCAAACTGAAAATCCTTGTGCTAAGATCTACCTTGTGGCAATTGTGACAGTGCTGTGCCTTGTCATGGTTTAAAAGGCAGTCTGGAAGAGGTTTTGTAGACAACTGGCACACTGATGATGCCAGTGTGTGCTGGGTTCTAAGGGTAACCAGAACTAGGCTTCTGGGCTCCATCCCAAAACCAGAAGGTCTCTGCGGAGAGGTCAGGAGGACCTCAGTACTTCCTTAGGAGTTAGGCCCAGTTCCCACTTGTGCAGGTCGTGCAGCCCATGTTTGCTCGGGCACAGCAGCCTATTCATTTAAATTGGCTGCTGTGCCCGTTTTTCATGCAAAGAAAAGGTGCATGCACCTGTCTTCAGAATGCATTCACAGGGAAAGTGCATGGTCTTTTTGACCTTGCAGTTTCCGTGCAGTTCGTGCCACGGGAGGAAATGTGTGGGGGTGCAATTCAGAATGAATGGCACCCCCTACATCTCACAAGAGAAATGTGATGTGGCTGTGGGTGGTTGTGGGCACAGGTGCAATTCCTGCACCTGCAACCAGCCCGCAGCCGCAGGATTAGTGTAAACTGAGTTAGAGAAGCTGCGCAGTGCAGCCAGTGCGTGTATATCTACATAGTGCAGATAATGACAGAACAGCAAGGAGCTGGGGGATAGCTGAGATACAGTGTGTGTACACACTGAGGTGCTGTGTTTGATGGTCATGAGGACCAAGGCAACCGGCCTTAGCGACAGCGCTCCTAGGGAGAGCCACAAGGCTGAAGTCATTTATTTGTGTGTTGATGGTGGAAACCCCTGCATGGGAAACTGATTTTTTTTTTGTATGAACTTTCCATTTCATTAAAAAAAGTGGGCCAGAAAACCCTTAAAGGGCACTTCTGGAGTGGAGTGAACTCACTAGAAAGCACTACTATTGAGCTAACAAGCCCCCAAATGTCACACAATATAAAGGGATTTCAGGGGATATAATAGAATCCACTAAGACATGCATGAAATGACTGTCCATCTTCCTTTTTAAGCAAAGATTTGAACCTTGGACATTCCCTACTTTCCTAATTAAATTCCATGTGTTTTCTAGCCAAAATGGAAGGTTCATATTGTTGGTAAGGGGCACTAAGCAGGTACACTTTACATAACCTGCAGATGAGTTTCCAGACTTTCACTGCAGTTGGGGGTGGGGGGTGGGGGGGGGGGGGGTGGACACAGTTAGCAGCTCTGACTGAGTGACCTCCAAACCCATGCAGCCAAATGTTGATGCAACTCATCCAAAATGGAAAATCTGCTTTTTAAATAAAATGGAGCTGTCTGTCAGTAGCTCACCATGCTGTCATCTGTTTGGTAGTGTGGACAGTGGTTGGAGCAATGAAAGATACAGGGAAATAGCCATGTGGTGTTTTTTTTTCTGGGTGGATGGACATTCCAGCTTACATGTGAAAGGGAAAACAAACAGCATACCTTGTCCTTACATACACATGAAATATTCCTCGCATAACTCATTAGCAGCATATTATGTGCATATAAAGTAATCTACCACTTTAGGACTGACAACTTCTGTTTTACATATCTCAGAAACCAATTCCAGCCACTTTGATGTTTACAATTTTTAACCACTTGAAGACTGGCATGTTAAACCCTTTTTCAGTCCAAGCCATTTTTCAGTTTTCAGCACTATGATACTCTGGGTGACGATTGCTGTAAGGAAAAAAATAGCAATTTTTTTTAACAGATAGATATCGAGTGCATGAAAAATATGCGGCCTCTTGGCGTCTGGGCTTCGACGCCGAGCGGCCGCATATTTGTGTTCCATTAAAAAATACATATCTGTGGAGAGAGTGCGCTCCCGGCACATATGTCTGTGACTCACGGAAAGGTCCCGATCTCCCCTTGCGATCGGGACCTTTTCCGATCATGTGACTGTGAATCATGGCGGTCACATGACCCTAAAACCCCATCCGCCTCCTGGCTTCTGAAACTCTTAAAGGGCTGGGAGGCGCCGGCACAAAAAGGTTAAATAAATAATATTTCTTCATAAATTTAGACCAAAATGTTTTCTGCTGCATTTATTTAGTAAAAAACAAATAAGTGTATATAATTTAGACTGTGTGAAAGTTTGCTTGCAAACTAGAGATGCCCTTTTTTGATGGGCGAGTACAAATACCGATACTTTTGGTCAAGTACTCACCAATACCAAGTACTGATACTTTGCGGTACGATTTGTGCCAAAACAAAATGTATGTATGCACATTGCACTGCAAAGAATAGCATGCAATTTAAACAGGGATGCGATTCCTGTTTAAATCGCATGCGGTTTCCCCACTGCTCCTGTGCGAACCCAGGCTTCTCATTGTTCAGACAGAAGCAGTGCAGGGAGGTTTCCCGCAGCGGAGAGTGGACATGTGGGGATGTACAGTATACCTGGTGGCAGATGCTCCATATTCTCAGCTGTAGGAAAGGAGAGAAAGTGAGGACTTTCTCTCCTCTCCTTGCAAGGATGACAGTTCGGGCTAGCGGGCCTCACATGGACAGTGCTAACCAATCAGAAGCGATCTATCCACAGCTGTGGATGTTGGCATTGGCTATACCTAGGAGATCTACATGGTCCCTTAAAGAAACAAAGGCACATTATTATTATACAGGATTTATATAGCGCCAACAGTTTGCTCAACGCTTTACAATATAACAGGAGACAATACAGCAACAATACAAGAGGGTTGGGAGGGCCTGATCCTTGAAGCTTACAATCCAAGAGATTACGGCCGAGCAATTGTTGTGAGGTCATAGTGTATGTGTGTAAAATAAATAAATATATATATATATATATATAAATATATATAAAAACACTGTTGTCTGCCAGCTTGATTAACAGTCTCATGACTGGCCCACAACGTGTGTGCTTCCTATCAGTAATAGGACGCACCTGCCACTTAATACTGCATGTTGTACTGCCATACTACAATCCCATTTTATACCTTTAATATTAAAAGTCCCGGTTTCACTTGAACGCCTTTGACTTCCCACCTGTCAGCTAGGTGTCTCATCACACACTTCCACTCTCAATGCAAAGCATGTCATAAATTTCATACCTGCAAATCATGTAGTGTTTCCATTTTTTTGTCTAACCCCCTGTATCTTCTCATGATATTGTCAGATACAATTAAACTATTAAAAATAATAAATAGATAGGATCAATTAATTTTTTTCAACATTTATGCACATAGTTGTGTTCAAAATAATAGCAGTGTTTTGAAAAAAAGTGACTAAAGCTCAAAATCCTTCTAATAGCTTTTATTTCCATACACAGAAATGCATTGGGAACACTACACATTCTATTCCAAATCAAAACATGAAGAAAAATATGTCAAATTTGTGTTGTTCCTCTAAAATAAAATTGCAGAAAAGTGAATATTAGACTGTTCAAAAAAAATTGCAGTGTTTGTATTCTTCTTTACAAACTCAAACATTCACCATATAAACTGAAAAATGTTTGAAGATTTTGCTTTCCTTTGAATCACTTAATTAATATTTAGTTGTATAAGCACTGTTTCTGAGAACTGCTGTACATCTGTGTTGCATGGAGTCAACCAACTTCTGGCACCTGTGAACAGGTATTCCAGCCCAGGATGATTGGACTACATTCCACAGTTCTTCTCTATTTCTTGGTTTTGCCTCAGAAACTGCATTTTTGATGTCACCCCACAGGTTTTCTATTGGATTAAGATCCGGAGATTGGGCTGGCCACTCCATAACGTCAATCTTGTTGGTCTGGAACCAAGATTTTGCACGTTTACTGGTGTGTTTGGGGTCGTTGTCTTGTTGGAACACTCATTTCAAAGGCATTTCCTCTTCAGCATAAGGCAGCATGACCTCTTCAAGTATTCTGATGTATTCAAACTAATCCATGATCCGTGGTATGCGATAAATAGGCCCAACACCGTAGTATGAGAAACATCCCCATATCATGATGCTTGCACAACCATGCTTCACTGTCTTCACAGTGTACTGTGGCTTGAATTCAGTGTTTGGGGGTTGTCTGACAAACTGTCTCCAGCCACTAGACCCAAAAAGAACAATCTTACTTTCATCAGTCCACAAAATGTTGCGCCATTTCTCTTTAGGCCAGTCAATGTGCTCTTTGGCAAATTGTAACCTCTTCAGCACATGTCTTTTTTTCAACAGTGGGACTTTGCGGGGGCTTCTTGCAGATAGCTTGGCTTCACATAGGCGTCTTCTAATTGTAACAGTACTCACAGGTAACTTTAGACCTTCTTTGATCTTCCTGGAGCTGATTGTTGGCTGAGTCCTTGCCATTTTGGCTATTCTTCTATCCATTTGAATGGTAGTTTTTCGCTTTCTTCCACGTCTTTCAGGTTTTGGTTGCCATTTTAAAGCATTTGCAATCATTTTAGCTGAGCAGCCTATCATTTTCTGCACTTCTTTATATGTTTTCCCCTCTCCAATCAACTTTTTAATCAAGGTACGCTGTTCTTCTGAACAATGTCTGGAATGACCCATTTTCCCTCAGAATTTCAGAGAGAAATGCACTGTAACCAGCATGTACAACATTTGCTGCCTTCCTTCCTTAAATAAGGGCAATAATTGCCACCTGTTTTTCAAAGAACGACTGACCTCACTAATAGAACTCCACACAGCTATTATTTTGAGCATGCCCCTTTCAATTAGTGATTCAATTACACAGAATCAGCAGCATGCATGTCATGACTGTTGGGTCTGTTGGATTTCTATTACTCTACTACACCTGCTAGTAAATTATTTGCCATGTAGAAATATCATTTCTACCAAAAACAGTGATTTATCAGGTTAGTGATGTCTGACTGCTATTATTTTGAACACAACTGTGTATATATATATATATATATATATATATATATATAAAATATATATATATAATATATAAAAACAGAGCAGGGTTTAATTTAATACTGGACGACAATTAAAGCCTTACATGGCTTTTTACATAGTTTGTGTGAGGTGCACTTGCGACAGAAACAATTGAGTACTGTCCGTGATACTTTTTTTATTTGCAATAACATACAATTTTGAGGACAAGCTTTCGGGGTATGTCCCCTTCTTCAAGGTCCGAGCAGTACTATTACAATGTTTTACATAGTTTGTGTGTATTTCTCAGCAAATTGGTTATCGTGGAGTTAACAAAAGGCTACTAAATGTAGCCTAGGCATCAATGATCTATGGTTACAATAGGTTTAAAGGGCACTATATAATTTTGAATGCAGTTACATAGTTAATCTGACTGAAAAAAAAGACACAAGTCCATCCAGTTCAACCAATCCAGAGCATAATGTGTGGCCTCTTTATCCTAGCTGTTGAGTCCTTAAATCTGAATGGTCACATTCAACTTCTGGCATCAATTTTTGGGGGTGGGGGTAGGTGGAAAAAATTTTTCCTCGATCTGTCTGATCACTTCTTCCACCGAAGGTCAGCTGGTGCATTGACCATGAATGAATAATCGTACCTTTGCAGTATTTACTATGTGCACACAGATTACAGCATATCATTGAGGGAACATGTATTCTATAAATGCTGACCTATACTCTCAAACTGCCAGTTGCCTGGCTTCTGTGCTGATCTAATGGCTTCAGTACTGGTTGCTGACACAAGTATGTAAATCACACCATTTTGGAATGCTTATTCCAGATCAGTTACTAAATGTATTGAAATCAGAAACAGCCGGTTAACTACCATCTTCACAAGCAGGTTAGCAATGTCAGCATTCATTTTGTTCTTGATATAGGTGTACTGTGGGACAGGGGCGTATTTACCACAAGGCAAACAAGGCACTTGCCTAGGGCGGCATATTTCAGGGGGGGGCAGCACCTCTCTCCAGAAGCAGGGATGGAAGAAGGGACACGCACATCATGGGGACCAGGAGGGATCCGAGAGACTGCGGACTGCTTGATGGTCTATGTAGAGCCTGACACTCTTTCCCAGAGATGTCTGGAGCTGTGAAGATGGGTGCCTTTCTCTCTATCACCCAGAAGGGGGAGGGGGGGTAAGGGAAGGCTCTCCCAGATGGGGGGCAGGGGTGTTGTTGATCAATGTTAGACTCTCTCCGCGGGAGGGGGAAGGGGGGGTATTGGTCAATGTCCATGGGGGCAGACAATTTCTGTGTTGCCTAGGGCAGCACAATACCTAAATACACCACTGCTGTGGGATGTAAATAGAAATTCAACAGGGAGACTGAGAGCATTCACATTGGCCAGGCAGAATTTAAGAATAGAAATCTGGATCTCCAAGAGAGTTAGTCTTTCAATTCAACATAGCTTTTTAAAAGGAAAATCTGAAATATCAGTTCTGGACAGACTAAAGTCACGCATTCAGCTCCTTGCCAGAGATCCTACCTTTTTGCTTTTGACCACCTTACGTTGTTTCCTCTCTTGCTGATTTATCCGTTAAGATAGAACTAAAATATTTAGGTGGAATATAGGATAGCTACCACTGTAGGTGTGCAAGCTTGGACATTTGATCAGAGATCTTGAGAATTTGTAATTTTCTGTTGATAATGTTCAGCATTTAAGCCAGTAACCTCCAGAGCTTATAGAGCAGAGACTCAAATTGCAGGTAATTGTTCTGTTTTGTAAACTGTTTTTCAGACAGTACAGAGGTGGATGGCATTCCCAGCCAAGAAGCATCAGATACACGAAAGATGATGGAAGAGCTTCAGAATAGATATCGTCAGATGGAGGAACGGATTACCTGTCCTATCTGCATCGACAGTCACATCAAGCTCGTGTTTCAGTGTGGCCATGGTTCCTGCACAGAATGCAGTACATCCCTCATTTCCTGCCCCATTTGTAGGCAAGCTATCCGGGAACGAATACAGATATTCGTCTGAAACAGGCTTGTTGGTGTGACTGCAGTGTTGGGCACTGCTGTATACCCTAAGGACACTATATACGCCTGAGCAAAGCATGATAGGGTTGACCCTCTCAAAGCAAGGTGTTCGGAGACAAGAGAGAGGTCCAACTCTGCTCAAGATGAAAACGTGGCTGCTGTGTGTGTGTTTTAAACACTAAAATACAATATCTATCAATATCCACACTGGAAGGGCTAATATAGCGCAGTCTTCCTGAAACCACATTTTTTCAAAGGGACAGAAAACGCCTACAGCATTACTCATTCAAACTTGCTGTCTGTCCAATCCTGACATGGTAACAGTCAATCCCATTCCTGTTTTTTTGTTTTGTTTTTTGTTTTTTTTAATTTAAGTTTCTCTACAATGAACGAAAATCATAGCCTTCCAAGAGCAAACTAAGTTGCATTTATATTTTCAACATACTTGACCACGAGATGTAGCATCAAAGCAATACAATAGATAGACACCCATTCTTGGCCAAGGAATGTCACGCTGTAAAATTAATGTGTGACTAGATTCAAGAAACAAGAATCCATAACTGGCAGGGTAGCTTGTTCCAGTTTACAAAGGATGTCATTTGCAAGAAAAATATATAAAAAGAAGAATGTTAGATTCTGCAAACCATTATGTTACATAAGTCATACCAGTAGGCAATCAAGAGGCATCTTATAAAAAGGAAATAAATTAATTCTCTTTAGGATTCTTCATTGTGAAAACCACACCATGAACTGTCAGGTGACAGGACTGAGTAGCAAATTTAAAAGATGGCTCATTTTTCTGTACAATGTATGAAATGTGTATAAAACCAAAATAAACTCTGGCTTGTTAATATTACAAATTTTGTAGCTTCTTATTCTTAGGAGACAAGGTTATTGTATTATCTTTAATGGCTATCATCTGAATTATGAATAATAATTAACCACTTGCTGCACTAGTTTAACGGACAATTGCGTGGTCATGCAATACAGTAGATAAATTAAATTTATGTCCTTTTTTTCACACAAATAGAGCTTTCTTTTGGTGGTATTTGATCACCTGTGTGCTTTTTATTTTTGGCGCTATAAACAAAGAAATTAAAGAAAAATTAAAAAAAAAAAAAAAAACAAAAAACAATATTTTCTAATTTCTATCAATTTCTAAAATATCCAAAAAAAAAATAAAATTTCGTCACAAATTTAGGCCAAAATGTATTCTGCTACATGTGTTTGGTTAAAAAAAATACCAATAAGTGTATATTGATTGCTTTGTGTGAAAGTTATAGCGTCAACAAACTATGGTATAGACCAGCAATGGGCAAACTACGGCCCGGCGGACCTTTTAATCTGGCCCGCGGAGCTAGGCTCCCGCTAGGCTCCTCTCACAGTCCGCCCTGAAGACCGGTGTAGCATGAAAATCTGTCTCCTATGAGGATCTGTCCCCCTCGACGTATCTGCGCATGTGCCGGAGATCGCCGGTCGGCTGCTAATGCCTGAAACTGGCACATGCGCAGATACGTCGAGGGGGACAGATCCTCATAGGAGACAGATTTTCATGCTACACCGGAACGGCGCGGGAACGCGCGGAGCAAAGGTAAGTGAATTGACACAGGGGGGACTTAGGGACTTAATATGGGGGATGAATTAATATGGGGAATGAATTACTATAGGGGGGATGAATTACTATAGGGGGGATGAATTACTATGGGGGAAGAATTACTATAGGGGGGATGAATTACTATAGGGGGGATGAATTACTATATGGGGGATGAATTACTATATGGGGGATGAAGAATTACTATGGGGGATGAATTACTATGGGGGAGGAATTACTATATGGGGGATGAATTACTATGGGGGATGAATTACTATGGGGGGATGAATTACTATGGGGGGATGAATTACTATGGGGGATGAATTACTATGGGGGATGAATTACTATGGGGGATGAATTACTATATGGGGGATTAATTACTATGGGGGAATATTACTATACTTACTATGGATGACACATACACATCATTCATCTACTCTTGGTCTGGCCCCCGGGTCCAATATATGAACCCATTGCGGCCCTCAAGTCAAAAAGTTTGCCCACCCCTGGTATAGACAATGGAATTTACACAGCTTTTACTTTCTGACTGCTTATTACATTTCTTGAGGTGCTAAAATACCAGGGCAGTACAAACACCCCCAAATGACCCCTTTATGGAAAGTAGACACCCTAAGCTATCTGCTGAGAGGCATATTGAGTCCATGGAAGATTTTTTTTTTCCACAAGTTTCTGGAAAATGACAAAAACGGTTTTTCTTTTTACACAAAGTTGTCATTTAAATGATATATTTCTCGCAGAAGCCATGGGTATATGTGGCGTTACACCCCAAAATACATTTTGCTACTTCTACCGAGTGTGGTGGTACCACATGTGTGAGACTTTTTGGGAGCCTGGCCACTGGCACAAGGTCAACGCTCACAAACTCAGATGCGTGCATAAGGGGGGTGGGGAGAGGGTACTTTTTTTTTTTTTTCAAGTTATTTTTATTTTTGTAAACTATTTTTACACTGTCCCCTTAATTTTTTTTTATTGTTGATCACTTTTTTTGGTTTACAAGCCATTTCATTTTTCAAGAAATAGCCTGTAAAGTAGCATTGCAGCTTGAAACACTATATACAAACAGAAACAAGGCACAACTCAAATGTGCATGTCACAAAGTACAATCGGATAAAGTCAAGAGAAAAAGAGAGAAAAGAGAGGAAAGAACTGAAGTACATGAGCAATAGAAATAGAAAGGTAGACAGAATTATTCAGCTACTGACAGAGTAACTCAATCTATCCAAACATGGGGGTTTCTCAATCATGTAGCAAATGCCTATGAGTCCTCCAAATTTCCCATTTTCTATCAAATAAGTGCATGTTGTCCAGTAAAGTGTAATGAATTCTCTCCGTGAGCATCACAGCATCAATCCTATGCAGAACAGAAGCCAATGGCACTGTGAGGGACTTCCAGTGTAGGGCAATAGCCCATAGGGTGGATATAAAAAAATGGCCTGGATTAGCCTCCTAACCTCAATCTGAACTCCCGAGATCTGGGATCCCAAATAGGCAGGACTGCACAGTCAGATGCACCGGAAACCCCCCGCCATGGCAGAAGCCACCTCCGAGATCCTACGCCACACCAAAGAGAGGCCCAGACAAGTCCCAAATGTATGCACCAGAGTACCTGCAATGCCTCAGCCACGAAAACATAGCTTAGACGTGTTCGGATACAACAGTGGCGTCTGGAAGGGGTATAATACCATCTGGTTAATACCTTAGGGGCTGTCTCGCGGACCCAAAGGGATCTGGAGCTCTTACATATGTTATCCACCATGGAATCCCAATCCTCATCCCAAAAGGTGATACTAATGTCAGCGTCCCATTTTTGTCTGTAGAGAGGGGGCGCGGAAGAAGAACTAGCCGGGAGTTGACGACACACATCTGAAATAAGACCCTTGCCCCTAGGAGAGTCACGGCTAATACGTTCGAAAAACGAAATCGGAGGTGAAGGTATAAGGCCAAAATGTGAACTAAAAAAAAAGTCTGATCTGTCGATAATGATGATATTCACGAAGTGGGATATCAAAGTGTGTGCGTAACACCCCTCAAAGGTGATATAAGACCCTCGCAATAAAATCCGGGTCACCAAAAAAAAGCTGTACCCGGAGAGATAGAGAAGACCAGATTTAATCTAAGTCTATAGCGAGACCAAAAGCATCAACCAATGGGCCACAATGGAAATATGGGTCCATAATGAGAGGGGGGGGGGATTTTGGAGCACAATATGCCTGGTAAATAGAACGGAAGGTATAGACTGAGATTCAAATCTGATCCACGGGATCTGAGAATTAATGTTCGCCCATTGTGATAAATTGTGCGAAACGGGCCGACGGGTAGTAAAGGCAGAAATTGGCGATTGGTCGCAGCAGGTCACATGGTACCGGAAACGGGGGGGCCGGCACACACATCTGTCATCAGCCGTGTCCGATGTACGTGGCCGGTGACGGGGGTAGCGCCGCGGAACGGCCCTACGGGCAGGCGCCCTGCGCGCCCCCTGCCTCAGGCCTAAATGTATAACTGACTTTGAGTTTACTATATATTTTTTTTATCGCCGAAAGTAAAAAATATTGTTTTTCTTCAAAATTTGCGGTCTTTTTTTGTTTACAGCGCAAAAAATAAAAAGCGCACAGGTGATGAAATCCCACGGAAAGAAAGCTCTATCTGTGTGAAAAAAAGGGGGTAAATTTCTTTTGGGTACAGCCCTGCATGAGCGTGCAGTTATCCGTAGAATTAGTGCAGCACCGAGTAGCAGCAAGAGGCCTGGTCATCAAGGGGGGGGGGGGGGGGGGGGGGGGGGGGTGTTTTGGGCAAGTGGTTAACCCAGAATGTGCAAAAAGAATGAAAAGAAAGCATAAAAGCGCAAGCTGCACAGTGTGTAAGTTGAATGGGAAGTAATGAGTTAATAAGAAAGCGCACTCCCTGTGTTGTGGAAGATAAGGCGCTTGTTTCCCCCCCATGCTCCCCTTGGAATGTTCTCCTGGGCCCATGAAAGGCTTTGCGAATAGGTAAATTGTGAGAAAAGGAATGTTAAAAGCGTGTGAAAAAAGTCTTGAAATGAATGGCGGGGGAAGGAAAAGAATAATTGAGCGAAATGTGAATGAAAAGTTTTGTTCCGCAGAGGGGGGGTCTGGAACCTGCGACGATGTGCTTCGCAGTCCTCCTCCCTAACCACTAGACCACAGGCCTCTGCCTAGGGCTCTGTGGGTGAAACTGACCTTTGTTTTTTCCTGTGGGCCACGGAGCGCTACATTCACGACATGAGACGATAACCGCCCACTGCGACTTGGCATGCGCCGCTCCGGGGACGGACTGCTCGGGCCTTAAAGCGGCACATGTGCACTTGCTTCAGGTCAATACATAGCTTGCCATTGCCGCGCTGCCTTCCCCCCGGAGAAGACGCGCACAAA